TCAGATCTCAAAATGAGATAAAATTATTCTTTGGTAGACTTTTCTAGCAGTGATATATACAACAAATGCAAGTAGCTTTTTATCAATTACAAGACAAAAATGCTAAAAGAGGGAAGCTTAGGAGAGTGAATGAAGAGCAAAATGCACGTCATTTTAATGAATTGCTAAAAGAATTGTGGAAAGAAAGAGACAAAGATGTTATTTAATACTTTAACATTATATATATACATATATATATACATATAGACATATATATACATATACATACATATTATTTTTTTTATTATCACACCAGCCGATTCCCACCAAGGCAGGGTGGCCCGAAAAAGAAAAACTTTCACCATCATTCACTCCATCACTGTCTTGCCAGAAGGGTGCTTTACACTACAGTTTTTAAACTGCAACATTAACACCCCTCCTTCAGAGTGCAGGCACTGTAACTTCCCATCTCCAGGACTCAAGTCCGCCTGCCGGTTTCCCTGAATCCCTTCATAAATGTTACTTTGCTCACACTCCCAACAGCACGTCAAGTATTAAAAACCATTTGTTTCCATTCACTCCTATCAAACACGCTCACGCATGCCTGCTGGAAGTCCAAGCCCCTCGCACACAAAACCTCCTTTACCCCCTCCCTCCAACCCTTCCTAGGCCGACCCCTACCCCGCCTTCCTTCCACTACAGACTGATACACTCTTGAAGTCATTCTTTTTCCCGCTCCATTCTCTCTACATGTCCGAACCACCTCAACAACCCTTCCTCAGCCCTCTGGACAACAGTTTTGGTAATCCCGCACCTCCTCCTAACTTCCAAACTACGAATTCTCTGCATTATATTCACACCACACATTGCCCCAGACATGACATCTCCACTGCCTCCAGCCTTCTCCTCGCTGCAACATTCATCACCCACGCTTCACACCCATATAAGACGTTGGTAAAACTATACTCTCATACATTCCCCTCTTTGCCTCCAAGGACAAAGTTCTTTGTCTCCACAGACTCCTAAGTGCACCACTCACTCTTTTTCCCTCATCAATTCTATGATTCACCTCATCTTTCATAGACCCATCCGCTGACACGTCCACTCCCAAATATCTGAATACTTTTCACCTCCTCCATACTCTCTCCCTCCAATCTGATATTCAATCTTTCATCACCTAATCTTTTTGTTATCCTCATAACCTTACTCTTTCCTGTATTCACCTTTAATTTTCTTCTTTTGCACACCCTACCAAATTCATCCACCAATCTCTGCAACTTCTCTTCAGAATCTCCCAAGAGCACAGTGTCATCGGCAAAGAGCAGCTGTGACAACTCCCACTTATATATATATATATATATATATATACACATACATACATACATGCGTGTTGTAAAAGTCAACTAAAATGCCGGGAACAATGGGCTAGTAACCCCTTTTCCTGTAAAATTACTAAAAAGAATAAGAAGAAGAAAATTGTCAAAGTGGGAAGTCTGAATGTGCATGGATGTTGTGCAGATGATAAGAAAGAGATGACTGTGGATGTTATGAATGAGAAGAAGCTGGATGTCCTGGCTTTAAGTGAAACAAAGCTGAAGGGGGTGGGAGAGTTTCAGTGGAGAGGAATAAATGGGATTAGGTCAGGGGTTTCAAATAGAGTTAGAGCTAAAGAAGGAGTAGCAATAATGTTGAAGGATAAGCTATGGCAGGAAAAGAGGGACTATAAATGTATTAATTCAAGGATTATGTGGAGTAAAATAAAGACTGGATGTGAAAAGTGGGTTATAATAAGCGTGTATGCAACTGGAGAAGAGAGAAGTGTAGAGGAGAGAGAGAGATTTTGGGAAATGTTGAGTGAATGCTGGGGAGTTTGGAATCAAGTGGGAGAGTAATGGTGGTTGGGGATTTCAATGCTAAAGTGGGTAAAAATGTTATGGAGGGAGTAGTAGGTAAATTTGGGGTGCCAGGGGTAAATGTAAATGGGGAGCCTTTAATTGAGCTATGTGTAGAAAGAGATTTGGTAATAAGTAATACATATTTTTTGAAAAAGAGGATAAATATACAAGGTATGATGTAGCACGTAATGAAAGTAGTTTATTAGATTATGTAAATTGGTGGATGAAAGATTGATGGGTAGGCTCCAAGATGTACATGTTTATAGAGGGGCAACTGATATATCGGATCATTATTTAGTTGTAGCTACAGTTAGAGTAAGAGGTAGATGGGAAAAGAGGAAGTGGCAACAACAAGTAAGAGGGAGGTGAAAGTGTAAAAAACTAAGGGAGGAGGAAGTTCGGGTGAGATATAAGCGACTATTGGCAGAAAGGTGGGCTAGTGCAAAGATGAGTAGTGGGGGGGGGTTGAAGAGGGTTTTGGAATAGTTTTAAAAATGCAGTATTAGAATGTGGGGCAGAAGTTTGTGGTTATAGGGGTGGGGGCAGGAGGAAAGAGGAGTGATTGGTGGAATATGAAGTAAAGGGTGTGATAAAAGAGAAAAAGGTAGCTTATGAGAGGTTTTTACAAAGCAGAAGTGTTATAAGAAGAGCAGAGTATATGGAGAGTAAAAGAAAGGTAAAGAGAGTGGTGAGAGAGTGCAAAAGGAGAGCAGATGATAGAGTGGGAGAGGCAAATGTCAAGAAATTTAATGAAAATAAGAAAAAATTTTGGAGGAGTTATAAAAAGTTAAGAAAGCCTAGGGAAAGTATGGAATTGTCAGTTAAAAACAGAGTAGGGAAGTTAGTAGATGGGGAGATGGAGGTATTAGGTAGATGGCGAGAATATTTTGAGGAACTTTTAAATGTTAAGGAAGAAACAGAGGCAGTAATTTCATGCACTGGTCAGGGAGGTAAACCATCTTTTAGGAGTGAAGAAGAGCAGAATGTAAGTGTGGGGGAGGTACGTGAGGCATTACGTAAAATGAAAGGGGGTAAAGCAGCTGGAACTGATGGGATCATGACAGAAATGTTAAAAGCAGGGGGGATATAGTGTTGGAGTGGTTGGTACTTTTGTTTAATAAATGTATGAAAGAGGGGAAGGTACCTAGGGATTGGCAGAGAGCATGTATAGCCCCTTTATATAAAGGGAAAGGGGACAAAAGAAACTGTAAAAATTATAGAGGAATGAGTTTACTGAGTATACCAGGAAAAGTGTACGTTAGGGTTATAATTGAAAGAATTAGAGGTAAGACAGAATGTAGGATTGCGGATGAGCAAGGAGGTTTCAGAGTGGGTAGGGGATGTATAGATCAAGTGTTTACATGAAGCATATATGTGAACAGTATTTAGATGAAGGTAGGGAAGTTTTTATTGCATTTATGGATTTAGAAAAGGCATATGATAGAGTGGATAGAGGAGCAATGTGGCAGATGTTGCAAGTATATGGAATAGGTGGTAAGTTATTAAATGCTGTAAAGAGTTTTTATGAGGATAGTGAGGCTCAGGTTAGGGCGTGTAGAAAGGAGGGAGACTACTTCCCGGTAAAAGTAGGTCTTAGACAGGGATGTGTAATGTCACCATGGTTGTTTAATATATTTATAGATGGGGTTGTAAAGTAAATGCTAGGGTGTTTGGGAGAGGGGTGGGATTAAATTTTGGGGAATCAAATTCAAAATGTGAATTGACACAGTTACTTTTTGCTGATGATACTGTGCTTATGGGAGATTCTAAAGAAAAATTGCAAAGGTTAGTGGATGAGTTTGGGTATGTGTGTAAAGGTAGAAAGTTGAAAGTGAACATAGAAAAGAGTAAGGTGATGAGGGTGTCAAATGATTTAGATAAAGAAAAATTGGATATCAAATTGGGGAGGAGGAGTATGGTAGAAGTGAATGTTTTCAGATACTTGGGAGTTGACGTGTCGGCGGATGGATTTATGAAGGATGAGGTTAATCATAGAATCGATGAGGGAAAAAAGGCAAGTGGTGCGTTGAGGTATATGTGGAGTCAAAAAACGTTATCTATGGAGGCAAAGAAGGGAATGTATGAAAGTATAGTAGTACCAACACTCTTATATGGGTGTGAAGCTTGGGTGGTAAATGCAGCAGCGAGGAGACGGTTGGGCAGTGGAGATGTCCTGTTTAAGGGCAATGTGTGGTGTAAATATTATGCAGAAAATTCGGAGTGTGGAAATTAGGAAAAGGTGTGGAGTTAATAAAAGTATTAGTCAGAGGGCAGGAGAGGGGTTGTTGAGGTGGTTTGGTTATTTAGAGAGAATGGATCAAAGTAGAATGACATGGAAAGCATATAAATCTATAGGGGAAGGAAGGCGGGGTAGGGGTCGTCCTCAAAAGGGTTGGAGAGAGGGGGTAAAGGAGGTTTTGTGGGCAAGGGGCTTGGACTTCCAGCAAGCGTGTGTGAGCGTGTTAGATAGGAGTGAATGGAGACGAATGGTACTTGGGACCTGACGATCTGTTGTAGTGTGAGCAGGGTAATATTTAGTGAAGGGATTCAGGGAAACCGGTTATTTTCATATAGTCGGACTCGAGTCCTGGAAATGGGAAGTACAATGCCTGCACTTTAAAGGAGGGGTTTGGGATATTGGCAGTTTGGAGGGATATGTTGTGTATCTTTATATGTGTATGCTTCTAAACTGTTGTATTCTGAGCACCTCTGCAAAAACAGTGAAAATAACCGGTTTCCCTGAATCCCTTCACTAAATATTACCCTGCTCACACTCCAACAGATCGTCAGGTCCCAAGTATCATTCGTGTCCATTCACTCCTATCTAACACGCTCATGCACGCTTGCTGGAAGTCCAAGCCCCTCGCCAACAAAACCTCCTTTACCCCCTCTTTCCAACCCTTTCGAGGATGACCCCTACCCCTCTTTCCTTCCCCTATAGATTTATATGCTTTCCATGTCATTCTACTTTGATCCCATTCTCTCTAAATGACCAAACCACCTCAACAACCCCTCTTCTGCCCTCTGACTAATACTTTTATTAACTCCACACCTTTCCTAATTTCCACACTCCGAAATTTTCTGCATAATATTTACACCACACATTGCCCTTAGACAGGACATCTCCACTGCCTCCAACCGTCTCCTCACTGCTGCATTTACCACCCAAGCTTCACATCCATATAAGAGTGTTGGTACTACTATACTTTCATACATTCCCTTCTTTGCCTCCATAGATAACGTTTTTTGACTCCACATATACCTCAACGCACCACTCACCTTTTTTCCCTCATCAATTCTATGATTAACCTCATCCTTCATAAATCCATCCGCCGATACGTCAACTCCCAAGTATCTGAAAACATTCACTTCTTCCATACTCCTCCTCCCCAATTTGATATCCAATTTTTCTTTATCTAAATCATTTGATACCCTCACCACCTTACTCTTTTCTATGTTCACTTTCAACTTTCTACCTTTACACACATTCTCAAACTCATCCACTAACCTTTGCAATTTTTCTTAAGAATCTCCCATAAGCACAGTATCATCAGCAAAAAGTAACTGTGTCAATTCCCATTTTGAATTTAATTCCCCATAATTTAATCCCACCCCTCTCCCGAACACCCTAGCATTTACTTCCTTTACAACCCCATCTATAAATATATTAAATAACCATGGTGATAAATAAATTTATTTATTTATTGATATTTATTTATTGATATTTATTTATTGATATTTATTTATTTATTTATTGATATTTATTTATTTATTGATATTTATTTATTGATATTTATTTATGTTGATTTATTTATTTATTGATATTTATTTATTTATTGATATTTATTTATTTATTGATATTTATTGATATTTATTGATATTTATTGATATTTATTTATATTTATTTATATTTATATTTATTTATATTTATTTATTTTTTTTTTAACACCAGCTGTATCCCACCAATGCAGGGTGACCCAAAAAGAAAAAGAAAAGTCTTCTTAAATTTAGTAATTTATACAGAAGGGGTTACTAACTCCCAGCATTTTAGTTGCCTCTTACAACATGCATGGCTTACAGAGGAAGCATTCTTTTCCCTTTCCCCATAGAGAACATTAAATGTGTTAGTAATATTTTAAACTAAGAAAATTATGAGCCCAGCACTTCGTGATGATCCTGTGATAATCGTCTTGTTTCTCTTCTGATACAGCGAGGGCATCGGATAGGAGAATAACAGCCAGCATGGAAACAAGCACTGCAGATGTTGCACAGTGCAGTAGAATCCAACTGGAATGGGAAGATGGGATCTCCACGTCCGCACACTTCACAGATAAAGCCTCGTCCCATACATACCTGAAGAAATTGGTTTGGATTAATTTTTTACAACACAGAATATTGTGGTTTTTAAGCTCTAATCTAGTCATACTGTTTATTCACAAGGAAATAAGTTTAACCAATACCAGAAGACAATCTCAAACACTGATTAAAATTTTAATAAAATTTTTAGTACTAAATACTGATCAGTAAAAAGGAAAATCCTATACAAATGGGAAGAATCTGTATATTTTGTCCTCAGAGATCCCCTACCCTCTTCATTTGAAGAAGTCTCCAAGGATGAAATATACAAATCCTTCCAGTTTTGTATTTTCCAACCATGTTGGGTTTACTTTTCCTACAAAAGTGTTTAGGAAAAAATCTAAAGAAAAATAGAAAAACCATGTGGCAGATGATCATGTAAATTAATAAAACCAGTCATATCTCATGGGTAATTAGTCGAAGTACTGTACATTAATTCGTATATTTTCTTTCTTTTTGGGTCACCCTGCCTCGGTGGGAGACGGCCGACTTGTTGGGGGAAAAAAAAAAAAAATTAAATTCCCCTTCATTCAGACTACTTTTCTTTTTAGCATGTCCAGTAATATATATTGTCCTCTTTCATTGTCAGCTTGCTGTTATGGCGTACTGTTTTTCAAGAGTTTCAACATTTTTTTGGATTGTAAAAAGGCTAAAAAGTAAAAATTATGTAATCTCCAAACATGTTAACAGTCCTTTCTTTTACAATTCAGGCCTACTACAAAACACTAGAATACCTTCTCTAGTACTGTATATTTCTTTTTAAAAAAACTGTCATGCAAGTCTTATAAAGACATTCAGGTACCTTCTGGACTGCATCAATAAATGTTCTCACATGATACAAGTCTGTGCTTGAACCTTTATGCTATCACAGGACCTTTCCCTTACGTAATAAAATTATCCTTTAAAATACTTTACCCTAAAAAAAAGTTTTATTATAAAAGAATAATTTGTATGAAACATTATCAAGTGCACTCAAATCTTTTAGTTGCATATTCATACACATCTATCCCTTATGTAATCCCTACTTCCTTTTTCTATGATGCTGGCTGTCGTATCCTTCACTTAGCCTCTATGTCACTTCAGTACACCTTACCTGCACACCTACCATGAGCCATCTTCTCCATATGTTCAAAACACTTATGAGTACTGCTCTTAACCCAATATTACCCCTCTCAATTTACATCAACTGCTTTTCTGCTGTTATGCCGAGATGGGGCTTTGTAAAATATAACTTTTATATTTGTTCATCTAATACATTGTATTACATTGCGATTACCATCGTTAATAGCTAAAATAAAAGTAATCAGCTTTACAATATTAAATATTAATTTTCATCTTTCCCATTTTCATTATATGTATATATGATGAATTATTTTGGTAAGAAAATGGATCGTTCACCATGAGTAACGGCCAATTTATATTTGTGTGGATTCACCTCTGGACTACTCGCCTGACGCGAGCTGACGTCAGGGGCGAGTGGTGTGGGGTTAAGCAGTACAACACCTCTCTCAGTCTTGAGATGATCCTCTCTACTTACTCGTTTACTCCGAGAAGTTATCCAGCAGTATAGCATCATTCTCTCAGTCTCTTGAAAGTAAGAGTATTTACCAAACTCTCACCAAGTAAAATCTCGCCAGTGTTTAAAGGGATTTCAGTTATTAAGCTTGGATCATCTCTGGTTAGAGTGACCATGTAACTTTATCAATTTCAAATGTAAATACCCATTCAGTCAGAATAGAGGTAATTGTAAGCAGTATATAAATTACAAGTCTGTTAAGTGTTATTTTTATAAGTAAAGGTACCATTTTAAAATACCTTATAGAATATCACATAAATTATATTGCATTAAAATTTGTTTTTAATATAATCTTTTCATCACCCCATCATATAAATCGTTATTACAATTTTCCATGAGTATATTTGATACTAAGCATCTCCTATACTCAGGCCAAATATATTACAAATTCCTAAATCAATCGTAATATCTGCCCTCAAAAATTTTCCACCAACTTTTTTATCACATGTATTTCCAAGAGTTTCTGACATATTTCCAAGAGTTTCTGACAAGCCATGGCTTTTAAATTTATATCAAATTTCATACACCTTTCCTTTCACTTGCAATTATTGTCCCATACATGAGATGGATATAACATGAATATTCTCCTTCCCTGCAGTGCTTCTCATTACTACACATACTTTGGATCATGAGTCCTTCACCAGTATCAACATACCTTTCCTGAGGGGGTAAGCTGACTCATTAAAACCCACTTTTCTCAAACTCAGGAGACACTACACATTTAGGCAGAGATTTTCACTATCTTCAATCCTTGTTTTAATTTCTTACAAATTAGTCACCTTTTAAAACATTAACACTTCTTAACATTCATTGCAAGATTCAGACTATTACTACCCTCCATATATACATCACTGCACTGGATTTTTTTTTGTCAAAAATTATGTTACTATGAATAAACCGAAAGATGGATTGTGGGGAGAAGGGGGGGGGGGGGAAACCATGGTCCATAAACTGACAGTCCGCTGCTCTACCACCTTGGTTCATACCCCCCCCCTGTCCATCTTTCTGCTTATTGACAGTTGTGTATTACAACAATCTGAGTTCCTCATCTTACTATGTTTAGGATTCACCTTAATCATAATTATCCAACATATTCTCTAACATCTAATTCTACTTCCAGTTCCACCAAGAAAGCATTTTCATCAGCATTTAAAAACTACAACAGTGGTATTACAATGTCATAATAGGTGTAACCCTTAAACTGTGGCATACCCCCAAAAAAAATTCCTGTCTGTGGGGGGAAGTTTTTCTGAATAAGACAAAAATGAGTGGAATCTGATAAAAAAACTTACGATTTTATGGTGTGTCAAAGTTGGTGAAAAAATGGTCACTCATTGGCAACAGTGCAACTAAGCCAGCAATATTAAGTTTTACAATTTACTGATGCCAAGATATGATTTTTTTTTTAACTGTTTTAATGTTTAACATCATATAAACTAGTCTTTTATATTAGATGTATTTAAAGATGTTTTAGTACTTCAAACATGAAGAAATGATAACCCTGACATTGCTCCACTTGGAATATACTGTATATGTGATTGCTTATTCTACTTTGTATTACAAGGAATACTTATGATATTACAATTGTTTCAGAGTAATACACCTCAAAACACGGAAGCAAGTCACACTGCTTGAATTTAGTGGGTAAATATACTTATGTGTGCTTTGTGGCTGAAATCCACTTTTAATATCATTAAATTGTATTAAATCTGGAATGAATAAGTCATCTCTATGCCACTTCCACACCATTTGCTGGTAGGAAAGCTGGTAGAGGAACAACAGCTCCTGATTTCGTTGCTTACTTATACTAATTAGGTGTACTAGTACATTGGACACAGTCATCAGTTGTGTAGTGGTATGTTTGGATCAGTTTAAAAGTTAAAGTAAAGATTTTAGTTAAATATGGTTTCATTAGACAAATTAAGCCCAATTACAAGTATTTGAAACATTCACATTAGCATTATTTGCAGTCACAGGGCAAGAGCAGCTTAAGTGTTCTACTCCCTCTAGAATTACTTTCTATAATACTAACCTGACATCTGGCAATATGTTTTATACACTGTGAAGTGATATTCTTCAGTTCCATCACCACTAAACCTGCTTTGATGGCTACAAGGTCATCTAGAGAGTAAGCATGAGGATCACTAGCCCAGTGTGGAGGTATCTTACTTAGTAGTGCTTTTTCACTGTAAGGAAAAAATAGTTTATTAGGACCATATGAACACAGCATGGAATATAAGTTGAATATATGGCACATTACTTTATGAGCAATATGGAAGCACTAATAGGATCAGCCTCACTTGCTATGAACTCAGGATATAAAATCATTTATTTTCTTCATAAAAGTCTAATCCCACTAAATTCTTTCAGTCCAAATAGTTCCTCATTCAGGACAAAAAATGTTTCGTTAAATACAGTGGAACCTCGAGTTATGGACTTAATTCATTCCAGAAGGCTGCTCAAATGCCGATACCGAACGAATTTGTTCCCATGAGGAATAATGTAAATTAGATTAGTCTGTTTCAGACCCCCAAAAATACACTTACAAAAGCACTTACAAGAATACACTTACATAACTGTTCAAGTTGGGAGCTGTTTGAAACTCAAGGTACCACTGTATAAAGAAAACAATTTCTGCACTGAAACCATTTGTTAGTAAGTGGCTAAAGTATTGACATGTTAATTTTTATCCAGTACCTATTTACCTTACATTACAGCTTACTATGTCACTGTGACAAGGACCTCAATTTCAGATATAGTAAGCTGGTGACAATGGAAAGGAATAAGAAATTGACAGTGGTAACAAAACCACATGTCTTGGCTGTATCTTTACTCTATCCCAATTATACATCATATTATTTAGAGGTACCTAATAACATGTTAAAAAACTGAGCAAGCTCTTTGCTACTGTTGGAAATATGCTTCTCTGAAGGTGGAGTAGCTATCACCATTCAGAGCACTCCTGACACCCAAAATGGTATACATTACAATAATTATAGTTTTCAGGAAGGGGTAGCAATTATGTTGAAGGATCAGTTATGGAAGGAAAAAGAGGGCATATAAATGTATAAATTCAAGGATTATGGGGTATTAAAACAAGGGTCAGATGCAAAAAGTGGGTCATAATAGGTGTAAGCACCTAGAGAAGAGAGTGAAAGGAGAGAGTTTTTGGGAGATGTTAAGAGTGTTCTCCATGGGGAAGTGGAACAGAATTCTTCCTCCGTAAGCCATGCGTGTCATAAGAGGTGACTAAAATGCCGGGAGCAAGAGGCTAGTAACCCCTTCTCCTGTATATATTACTAAATTTAAAAGGTGAAACTTTCGTTTTTCCTTTTGGGCCACCCCACCTCAGTGGGATACGGCTGGTGCGTTGAAAGAAGTTTGTTGAGTATACCTGGTGAAGTGTATAGTAGAGTTATTATTGAAAGGATTAAGAGTCAGACCGAAAGTAGGATAGCAGATGAACAAGGAAGCTTTAGGAAAGGTAGGGGGTGTGTAGACCAAGTGTTTACAGTGAAACATATAGGTGAACACTAGATAAATGTAAAGAGGTTTTTGTGGCATTTATGGATTTGTTAAAGGCATATGACAGGGTGGATAGGGGTCAATGTGGCAGATGCTGCAAATGTATGGAATAGGAGTTAGGCTATTGAAAGCAGTGAAGAGTTTTTATGAGGATAGTGAGGCTCCAGTTAGAGTATGTAGGAGAGAGGGAGATTATTTCCCAGTAAAAGTAAGCCTTAGACAAGGATGTGTGATGTCACCATGGTTGTTCAATATATTTGTAGATGGAGTTGTAAGAGAAGTGAATGCTCAGGTGTTGGGAAGAGGTATGGGGTTAAAAGATAAAGAATCTAACAAAAAGTGGGAGTTGTCACAGTTTCTCTTTGCTGATGACATTGTGCTTTTGGGAGAGTCTCAAGAGAAGTTGCAGAGGTTGGTGGATGTGTTTGGTAGGGTATGTAAAAAAAGAAAATTAAAAGTGAATATAGGAAAGAGTAAGGTGATGACAATAAAAAAATTAGGTAACAAAAGATTGGGTATCAGATTGGAGGGAGAGAGTATGGAGGAGGTGAATGTATTATTGATTTTTAAGGACCGGATCGATGTCCACAAGATGGGTGCCGAGAAAGAAAAGGCGTTCGACATCATCAGACACTGACGAGGGGGTTAAAAAGGCTATACGTACAACTGAGACACCTCTTGATGCAGCAGAACTTTATCCATGGAAACAAAGAGGAGAATGCTGAGAGTAGTTATCCCAATGCTCTTAAATGTGTGCAAGCATGGTCGTTAAAAATTGTATTTGCAACACGTAGAAGCCTGCGAGCCAGTGAGAAGATGTTCCCCGCTGTCTGATGGAGGCCAAATGCTTGAGTTGGATAGTGAATATAATGCAGAAGAATTCAGTAGTTTCTGGTAAGAAAAGTTAGGATAGGGGTTGTTGCAGATGGGTTATGAGTGGACTGAATGAGAGGAGGAAAAGGAGTCGTACATGAGGAAGTTGTGAATGCAAAGAACTTTCTGCAAGGAGAAGTATAGGTAGAGTTTACAATGTCTTAATGTGCAAGCAGGTGTGAATGTTGAAAGGAGAAAGTCGAGCAGTGAGAGCGTGTGGCAATGTGTGGTGTGAATGCAGAAACTAGTATTAGAGGGGTGAGATTGACATGGTAAAGAGGCAAAGGTGACTTCGAGTCTGATATACTGTAGTGGAGGGAGTTGTTAGATGCAAACGTTGCAGAAGTAAGAGTTGATGTGGGGGTAACTCGCAAGCAGTGACGTGTTAGATAGGAGCAAACAGTTTTTAGGACTTGACATGCTGTTGGAGTGTGAGCAAGGTAATATTTATGAAGGGATTCATGGAAACCAGCAGGCCGGACTCGAGTCCTGGAGATGGGAAGTACAGTGCCAGCACTCTGAAGGAGGGGTGTTAATGTTGCATTTTTATAACTGTAGTGTACGCACACCTCTGGCAAGAGTGACGGAATGAATGTGGCGAAAGGTTTTCTTTTTCAGGCTACCCTACCTTGGTGGAAAACAGCCAACGAGTTAAAAAAAAAAAAAAATCATTACTATTTCCACCATGGATGATACTTAAAATTACACCTGAGTCAGAATAGAATTTAGTGGTAACTACACTTTAATTTTTTATGTAAAACATGACATATTGTGTGTGCATTACTAATGGAATTTTGGCATTAAGGGGATGCTCCTGGTCCTGAAGAATCTGGAATAATTGTATATGATCAAAGATCTTTAACACTTGTAGAATCCAATCCACTTTAATCAGCTAAGAAGGCAATATGGAAAATGCAATACGAGGGAAATAGAAACAATAGCTTTTAACAAAAAATTCTGGATTAAGTATTAATCACCTGTGTGCTCTGCTACAGGTGTTTATGTAGGGTAAAGTGCGGTAGACCTGTAGCCGGTAGATGTATGCTTGCTGAAGATGTCGGCATCGTTTGTAAAGCCCAGGATTGAGGGCATCAATATTAAAAAGTGGATCACTTCTCATACTTTTTATTAGTTCTGAAGAAAATTTAGCTACTGGATACCTGCAAAAGAAAATTTGTGTAGTTCTTTTAATAATAAATTCACTGCAGTTATACAAAGTATATAGTGTAGCAAGAACACATCAGCATATAAAGCTGCAATCCTGACAACCAGTGAGCATGTAAACAATACAAGTCTAAATTTCATTATCTTTAATAGCAGTACATAATACTTACTATAATGTCAAGAAACACTGCTATTAAAATAAGATTTTCCCTGAAGCACTAATATGTAATAAGTGTCCTTTAATTTTTAATAGTCTGCAAATATATACTAACTGTAGATGAGAAAAAGCTACTGTTTAGATAAACATGAGTGCATCATTGTTTGACATGGCAGTACCTGTTTATAATTCAAAACTGGCCCAAACTCATTTTTTTGTTTATCATACTGGCCACCTCCAAGTGACGTAGGGTACACAAATAAATTCACTGTCTGTGCAGAATATCCCAATCCAAATGACCCTCTGAACTGTCTCCCAGAGTGCAGGCACTGTATTTCCCACTTTGAGGACTTTAGTTCAGCTAACTGGGTTTCCCAAATCCCTTCATTTAATGATACCTTGCTTACATTCCAACACATCCATGAAAAACTACTTGTCTCCACTCCAATCTAACATGTTTCTAGAAGCCTGCTGCCTTCTCAAGTTCCTAGAACTGGAACCCTAATTTACTCACTTCCTACATCCCTTTCTGCGATGACTACTGCCCTTCCTTTCCTTTACCTCAGCTTTTTACCCCATCCTGGTCATCCTCTCAATCTCTAAACCACCTCAGCAATCTCTCCTCCTTATAACCCTTATAATTTCAGACAAAAAAATTGACCAGACAAATGTTGGAAGTATCAGACAAGATGGAAAAAAAAATCCATAATTCTGGATTTTGTCTAGACAAAATGGAAGAAAGTCTATACTTCAGAATTTTGTCCATAATGACAGTGACCAGTTGTCTTCTAAGGTATTGATGATAGCCCTTGTAAAGCATTATTAATCTTACAAAATTCACATTCACTCAACTGTTACATGAGTAAATCAGTCAAAACCTATTAAATTTAGCACTGCACAATTATGTCAAATTCTTGGTCAGAAAAAAAAAAAAAATTACTTCAAGGTTTCCTTACAATTTGAAATCCCATTTATGAAGTATTTTTGCAGGAATCATGGCAGTCTGGTTGCTGTGACAGGTTGTACAGAAGTAGCGCCCTAAGTAATTACACAGTCTAAAGTGCCTGCTGAGACGCTCAGATACTCTCATGCCACAGCCAGCACACCGCCACCCTTGGGTACCCATCAACACCGAACGTCTGCAATATCAAGGTTATAGCAATTAAGCAGTAATTTGCTTGGAGAACAGGTGCAGTGAGAATGACAGTTTGTAGAAAGCACATGCACAAAGACATTTATTGAGGAAATTTTTTGCAGCAAGTGGCTTGTTCAGTCCTGATATAGAGAATCTAGAACAAGCAGTATATATAATTATAATAATAACCATTAATTTTTAAATGGCTGGACCAGTAAGCCAGTGGAAGGCCTCCATTAGCTGACCAAAATCTCCAGTGGAGGGTCATCATGTGGCTAAGACCCAATATGTTACCAAACTCTTAGCCTATGCTCACCTGATCTGTTACATTATGTATGCTGATGACTCAGATACTTGTGCAACATTTGGAAATCTTTACTGCGGAAACATTTCACCAGCCAGTGACTTCCTCAGTCCAATACTGAGAAGAACGGTGGAAGATGAGGAGTTTGAGGTAATCAGTCCCTCAGTCTGGAGTCGATATGTCCAGTCCATCAATCCTGGTGAACCGAACATTGAGGGACTGATTACCTCGAACTCCTCTTCATCTTCTACTGTCCTACTTTGTATTGGACTGAAGAAGCCACTTTCTAGCAAAACGTTTCCACAATGAAGATTCCCAAATGTTGCACAAGTGTCTCATTCTTCAAAATACATAATGTAACAGGTCAGGTGAGAATAGGCTAAAAGTTGGGTAACCTATTACTAAAGGTAACATATTGGGTAATCTTTAAAAACAGGTTGGACAAACACAAAAAGCAGGTAGGCTTCCTGCAGTACTCTTGGTGCAGCCTTGGGTCTTCTAATCAGGGATGTCATGGGCAGCTCCCCAGATAGCTACCCATTTGTTTTTTGTTTTTTTGTTTTTTGTATGTTTTTAAAAACCTAGACCTGACCTGGTACCTTAACTCAAAAACAATTATTATAGTTTGAATATAATTTCTTTTTTTTTAACAAGTCAGCCATCTCCCACCGAGGCAGGGTGACCCAAAAAAGAAAGAAAATCCCCAAAAAGAAAATACTTTCATCATCATTCAACACTTTCACCTAACTCACACACAATCACTGTTTTTGCAGAGGTGCTCAGAACACAACAGCTTAGAAGCATATACCTATAAAGATGCACAACATATCCCTCCATACTGCCAATATCCCGAACCCCTCCTTTAGAGTGCAGGCATTGTACTTCCCATTTCCAGGACTCAAGTCCGGCTATATAAAAATAACCGGTTTCCCTGAATCCCTTCACTAAACATTACCCTGCTCACACTCCAACAGATCGTCAGGTCCCAAATACCATTCGTCTCCATTCACTCCTATCCAACATGCTCACGCACGCTTGCTGGAAGTCCAGGCCCCTCGCCCACAAAACCTCCTTTACCCCCTCCCTCCAACCTTTTCGAGGACGACCCCTACCCCGCCTTCCTTTCCCTACAGATTTATACGCTCTCCAAGTCATTCTACTTTGATCCATTCTATCTAAATGACCAAACCACCTCAACAACCCCTCTTCAGCCCTCTGACTAATAATTTTATTAACTCCACACCTTCTCCTAATTTTCACACTCCAAATTTTCTGCATAATATTTACACCACACATTGCCCTTAGACAGGACATCTCCACTGTCTCCAACCGCCTCCTCGCTGCTGCATTCACAACCCAAGCTTCACACCCATAAAAGAGTGTTGGTACTACTATACTTTTATACATTCCCTTCTTTGCCTATATAGGTAACGTTTTTTGTCTCCAAGTATACCTCAACGCACCACTCATCTTTTTTTAACTCATCAATTCTATGATTAACCTCATCCTTCATAAATCCATCTGCCAACATGTCAACTCCCAAGTATCTGAAAACATTCACTTCCATACTACTCCTCCCCAATTTGATATCCAATTTTTCTTTATCTAAATAATTTTGATACCCTCATCACCTTACTCTTTTCTATGTTCACTTTCAACTTTCTACCTTTGCACACACTCCCAAACTCATCCACTAACCTTTGCAATTTTTCTTTAGAATCTCCCATGAGCACAGTATCATCAGCAAAAAGCAACTGTGTCAATTCCCATTTTGTATTTGATTTCCCATAATTTAATCCCACCCCTCTCCCGAACACCCTAGCATTTACTTTTTTTACAACCCCATCTATAAATACATTAAACAACCATGGTGACATTACACAACCCTGTCTAAGACCTACTTTTACTGGGAAGTAGTCTCCCTCTCTTCTATACACCCTAATCTGAGCGTCACTATCCTCATAAAAACCCTTTACAGCATTTAGTAACTTACCACCTGTTCCATATACTTGCAACATCTGCCACATTGATCCCCTATCCCCTCTATCGTATGCCTTTTCTAAATCTATAAATACAATAAAAACTTCCCTACCTTTATCTAAATACTGTTCACATATATGCCTCAATGTAAACACTTGATCTACACATCCCCTACCCACTCTGAAACCTCCTTGCTCACCCGCAATCCTACGTTCTGTCTTACCTCTAATTCTTTGAATTACAACCCTACCATACACTTTTCCTGGTACACTCAGTAAACTTATTCCTCTATAATTTTTACTATCTCTTTTGTCCCCCTTCCCTTTATATAAAGGGATTATACATACTCTCCACCAATCCCTAGGTACCTTCCCCTCTTTCATACATTTATTAAACAAAAGTACCAACCACTCCAACCCTATATCCCCCCTGCTTTTAACATTTCTGTCATGATCCCATCAGTTCCAGTTGCTTTACCCCCTTTCATTCTACGTAATGCCTCACGCACCTCCCCCACACTCACATCCTGTTCTTCTCCACTCCTAAAAGATGGTATACCTCCCTGGCCAGTGCATGAAATTACCGCTTCCCTTTCTTCGTTGACATTTAAAAGTTCCTCAAAATATTCTCGCCATCTACCCAAAACCTCCATCTCCCCTACTCTGTTTTTAACTGACAAATCCATTCGTTCTCTAGGCTTTCTTAACTTTGTTTAACTCACTCCAAAATTTTTTCTTATTTTCATTAAAATTTCTTGACAGTGCCTCTCCCACTATCATCTGCTCTCCTTTTGCACTCTCTCACCACTCTCTTCACCTTTCTTTTACTCTCCATACACTCTGCTCTTCTTATAACACTTCTGCTTTGTAAAAACCTCTCATAAGCTACCTTTTTCTCTTTTATCACACCCTTTACTTCATTCCACCAATCACTCCTCATTCCTCCTGCACCCACTCTCCTATAACCACAAACTTCTGCCCCACATTCTAATACTGCATTTTTAAAACTATTCCAACCCTCTTCAACCCTTCCCCACTATTCATACTTGCACCAGTCCACCTTTCTGCCAACAGTTGCTTATATCTCACCCGAACTTCCTCCTCCCTTAGTTTATACACTTTCACCTCCCTCTTGCTTGTTGTTGCCATTTTCCTCTTTTCCCATCTACCTCTTACTCTAACTGTAGCTACAACTAAATAATGATCCAATATATCAGTTGCCCCTCTATAAACGTGTACATCCTGGAGCCTACCCATCAACCTTTTATCCACCAATACATAATCTAACAAACTACTTTCATTATGTGCTATATCATACCTTTATTTATTTATCCCCTACATCATAAAATATGTATTACTTATTACCAAACCTCTTTCTACACATAGCTCAATTAAAGGCTCCCAATTTTCATTTACCCCTGGCACCCCAAATTTACCTACTACTCCCTCCACAACATTTTTGCCCACTTTAGCACTGAAATCCCCAACCACCATTACTCTCACGCTTGGTTCAAAACTCTCCACGCATTCACTCAACATTTCCCAAAATCTCTCTCTCTCCTCTACACTTCTCTCTTCTCCAGGTGCATATACGCTTACTATAACCCACTTTTCACATCCAACCTTTATTTTACTCCACATAATCCTTGAATTAATACATTTGTAGTTATCCTTCAACATCATTGCTACTCCTTCTTTAGCTCTAACTATTTGAAACCCCTGACCTAATCCCATTTATTCCTCTCCACTGAAACTCTCCCACCCCCCTTCAGCTTTGTTTCACTTAAAGCCAGGACATCCAGCTTCTTCTCATTCATAACATCCACAATCATCTCTTTCTTATCATTTGCACAACATCCACGCATATTCAGACTTCTCACTTTGACAATTTTCTTCTTATTATTCTTTTTAGTAATTTATTACAGGAAAAGGGGTTACTAGCCCATTGTTCCCGGCATTTTAGCTGACTTTTACAACACACAGATGACTGTGAAACAAAAACCTGTAATTTGTTTTGCATGATGGTAGGATTGCTGGTTTCTTTTTCTGTCTCATAAACACGCTAAGATAACAGGGATATCTTGCTACTCCTACTTACACTTTGGTCACACTTCACAGACACGCACATGCATATATATATATACATACATCTAGGTTTTTCTCCTTTTTCTAAATAGCTCTTGTTCTTTTTTATTTCTTCTATTGTCCATGGGGAAGTGGAAAAGAATCTTTCCTCCGTAAGCCATGCGTGTCGTATGAGGCGACTAAAATGCCGGGAGCAATGGGCTAGTAACCCCTTCTCCTGTATACAATTACTAAAAAAGAGAAGAAGAAAAACTTTATAAAACTGGGTTGCTTAAATGTGCGTGGATGTAGTGCGGATGACAAGAAACAGATGATTGCTGATGTTATGAATGAAAAGAAGTTGGATGTCCTGGCCCTAAGCGAAACAAAGCTGAAGGGGGTAGGAGAGTTTCAGTGGGGGGAAATAAATGGGATTAAATCTGGAGTATCTGAGAGAGTTAGAGCAAAGGAAGGGGTAGCAGTAATGTTAAATGATCAGTTATGGAAGGAGAAAAGAGAATATGAATGTGTAAATTCAAGAATTATGTGGATTAAAGTAAAGGTTGGATGCGAGAAGTGGGTCATAATAAGCGTGTATGCACCTGGAGAAGAGAGGAATGCAGAGGAGAGAGAGAGATTTTGGGAGATGTTAAGTGAATGTATAGGAGCCTTTGAACCAAGTGAGAGAGTAATTGTGGTAGGGGACTTGAATGCTAAAGTAGGAGAAACTTTAGAGAGGGTGTGGTAGGTAAGTTTGGGTGCCAGGTGTAAATGATAATGGGAGCCCTTTGATTGAACTTTGTATAGAAAGGGGTTTAGTTATAGGTAATACATATTTTAAGAAAAAGAGGATAAATAAGTATACACGATATGATGTAGGGCGAAATGACAGTAGTTTGTTGGATTATGTATTGGTAGATAAAAGACTGTTGAGTAGACTTCAGGATGTACATGTTTATAGAGGGGCCACAGATATATCAGATCACTTTCTAGTTGTAGCTACACTGAGAGTAAAAGGTAGATGGGATACAAGGAGAATAGAAGCATCAGGGAAGAGAGAGGTGAAGGTTTATAAACTAAAAGAGGAGGCAGTTAGGGTAAGATATAAACAGCTATTGGAGGATAGATGGGCTAATGAGAGCATAGGCAATGGGGTCGAAGAGGTATGGGGTAGGTTTAAAAAATGTAGTGTTAGAGTGTTCAGCAGAAGTTTGTGGTTACAGGAAGTGGGTGCAGGAGGGAAGAGGAGCGATTGGTGGAATGATGATGTAAAGAGAGTAGTAAGGGAGAAAAAGTTAGCATATGAGAAGTTTTTACAAAGTAGAAGTGATGCAAGGAGGAAGAGTATATGGAGAAAAAGAGAGAGGTTAAGAGAGTGGTGAAGCAATGTAAAAGAGAGCAAATGAGAGAGTGGGTGAGATGTTATCAACAAATTTTGTTGAAAATAAGAAAAAGTTTTGGAGTGAGATTAACAAGTTAAGAAAGCCTAGAGAACAAATGGATTTGTCAGTTAAAAATAGGAGAGGAGAGTTATTAAATGGAGAGTTAGAGGTATTGGGAAGATGGAGGGAATATTTTGAGGAATTGTTAAATGTTGATGAAGATAGGGAAGCTGTGATTTCGTGTATAGGGCAAGGAGGAATAACATCTTGTAGGAGTGAGGAAGAGCCAGTTGTGAGTGTGGGGGAAGTTCGTGAGGCAGTAGGTAAAATGAAAGGGGGTAAGGCAGCCGGGATTGATGGGATAAAGATAGAAATGTTAAAAGCAGGTGGGGATATAGTTTTGGAGTGGTTGGTGCAATTGTTTAATAAATGTATGGAAGAGGGTAAGGTACCTAGGGATTGGCAGAGAGCATGCATAGTTCCTTTGTATAAAGGCAAAGGGGATAAAAGAGAGTGCAAAAATTATAGGGGGATAAGTCTGTTGAGTGTACCTGGTAAAGTGTATGGTAGAGTTATAATTGAAAGAATTAAGAGTAAGACGGAGAATAGGATAGCAGATGAACAAGGAGGCTTTAGGAAAGGTAGGGGGTGTGTGGACCAGGTGTTTACAGTGAAACATATAAGTGAACAGTATTTAGATAAGGCTAAAGAGGTCTTTGTGGCATTTATGGATTTGGAAAAGGCGTATGACAGGGTGGATAGGGGGGCAATGTGGCAGATGTTGCAAGTGTATGGTGTAGGAGGTAGGTTACTGAAAGCAGTGAAGAGTTTTTTACGAGGATAGTGAGGCTCAAGTTAGAGTATGTAGGAAAGAGGGAAATTTTTTCCCAGTAAAAGTAGGCCTTAGACAAGGATGTGTGATGTCACCGTGGTTGTTTAATATATTTATAGATGGGGTTGTAAGAGAAGTAAATGCGAGGGTCTTGGCAAGAGGCTGGAGTTAAAAGATAAAGAATCACACACAAAGTGGGAGTTGTCACAGCTGCTCTTTGCTGATGACACTGTGCTCTTGGGAGATTCTGAAGAGAAGTTGCAGAGATTGGTGGATGAATTTGGTAGGGTTGCAAAAGAAGAAAATTAAAGGTGAATACAGGAAAGAGTAAGGTTATGAGGATAACAAAAAGATTAGGTGATGAAAGATTGAATATCAGATTGGAGGGAGAGAGTATGGAGGAGGTGAACGTATTCAGATATTTGGGAGTGGACGTGTCAGCGGATGGGTCTATGAAAGATGAGGTGAATCATAGAATTGATGAGGGAAAAAGAGTGAGTGGTGCACTTAGGAGTCTGTGGAGACAAAGAACTTTGTCCTTGGAGGCAAAGAGGGAATGTATGAGAGTATAGTTTTACCAACGCTCTTATATGGGTGTGAAGCGTGGTGATGAATGTTGCAGCGAGGAGAAGGCTGGAGGCAGTGGAGATGTCATGTCTGAGGGCAATGTGTGGTGTGAATATAATGCAGAGAATTCGTAGTTTGGAAGTTAGGAGGAGGTGCGGGATTACCAAAACTGTTGTCCAGAGGGCTGAGGAAGGGTTGTTGAGGTGGTTCGGACATGTAGAGAGAATGGAGCGAAACAGAATGACTTCAAGAGTGTATCAGTCTGTAGTGGAAGGAAGGCGGGGTAGGGGTCGGCCTAGGAAGGGGTTGGAGGGAGGGGGTAAAGGAGGTTTTGTGTGCGAGGGGCTTGGACTTCCAGCAGGCATGCGTGAGCGTGTTTGATAGGAGTGAATGGAGACAAATGGTTTTTAATACTTGACGTGCTGTTGGAGTGTGAGCAAAGTAACATTTATGAAGGGATTCAGGGAAACCGGCAGGCCGGACTTGAGTCCTGGAGATGGGAAGTACAGTGCCTGCACTCTGAAGGAGGGGTGTTAATGTTGCAGTTTAAAAACTGTAGTGTAAAGCACCCTTCTGGCAAGACAGTGATGGAGTGAATGATGGTGAAAGTTTTTCTTTTTCGGGCCACCCTGCCTTGGTGGGAATCGGCCGGTGTGATAATAAAAAAAAAAAATAAAAAAAAATGGCTTACGGAGGAAAGATTCTTATTCCACTTCCGCATGGATATAAAAGGAAAAGTAATAAGACCAAGAACTATTAAAAATAAAATCAAAGAAAACTCAGATGAGTGTGTATAAATAAACATGTACATGTATGTGTAGTGTGACCCAAGTGTAAGTACAAGTAGCAAGACGTACCTGTAATCTTGCACATTTATGAGGCAGACAAGACACCAGCAATCCTACCATCATGTAAAACAATTACAGGCTTTCGTTTCACACTCAATTGGCAGGATGGTAGTACCCCTCTTGGGTGGTTGCTGTCTACCAACCTACTACCTCAAAATATAAATAGTTATAGTAATTTAGCTCAGTCTTTTATTTATGCTTTGTATAGGCTGATCAAAAATACAGTATTTAAAAAAAAAAACTGTACTGTTATTATATACATTAATACTTTAAAGCTTTTCATTACCTAATCCATTTCTTACTTCAGCATGAATTTTCCCACAAGCAGACTTCATCTCAATTGAAGCAGAGCTTCCTGGAAGGTTAAGTTTGAAACCAAAGGTTCACTTGAAACAAAACTGGTAGATTTTTCTGCTTTCACCAAGTTTCCACCACTTGGCTAGAGAGAAAGCTTGCTATTTTTGGCCTCAGCACTGATTTAGGATATGTACATATCTTCATCACCAATGGAGAAAATAAGCAAGAGACAGTACAAAAGCTTCAGTGATCTGTGTCAGTAATTCAGCAGCTTTCTCTTGCTCCCAGCTCAATGTACTGTCACTGTACTCATGACGTGTTTGATGTGCCGCTACTGTAGGTGCAGGGAACAGAAGTGACAAAATATGTTTGCCTGAAAATTTATTAAACCCAGAACCAATGTTAATGAGACACTACCCTGCATGATAGCAATATGAGACAATACCCTGCATGACAGCAGTGTAGCTAATTCTTACTTAGTGTTAGTGTGAAGAGTGAGGATGAGCTGAGGTCTTGGCGGGGCCCAATCAGAGGTTCCCCGGAACTGAGTTTGCGAGTGTAATGCCTTCACTGCTCCAGCATCATCAGGACTAACTGCTACACTTGTAGGCAGTGGTAGCAGCTGTAAAAAAAAAAAATCATTACATTATATATTACCAATTACTTCGCATGCTTGTGCTCTCAATAACCAGACACAATAAGAATTAATGTGAAAAAAATAGTTGTCAAGTTCAAAAAATAATATAGAATAATTATTACAGTTTGGAAGCATTTCAATGAAGTCTTGTTATCAGAATGGAAGTGCTCTGTTTCTCAGCCTCCAAAATAAAGTTGAAGACACTCATGGTAAAATGTTTTTCAATAAATGTCTTGAAATGTATACAACCATTCCCCCCCTTCCCCATATCTTGTTTAACACCATACTATTTACTTGCAAAAGCCAGTTAGCCAATTTAAGTTTCTTATAGATTACTTTGCTGATGCTGAAACAACTCGTCAAATACCAAGTCCGTTTGCTCATACTATATAACAAACTTGCATATATCTAGTGGGTATTCCAGATTTTAGAAGCTTTTGAAGTTGAAGAGGGGCTGATAAAATGAATGGATAAAGATAATTTAATAAAAGAATATAAATCTTAAGTGACTGGATATTAAAAAGATATTATTCAGAAGAGGCTTTAATATACATCAAGCATACATGTGAATGTGTTTATATCGAGAGGAAGCAACCGATCTTATGAAATAAAATTTGTTGTGTATGAACAAAGTAATACCCATAAAGAAAATAGGGTAGAGTGGCTAGCTGACTACAGTAGTTTTGGAGGTTAGGTATAGTGCCTGCACTTTGTAGTTCAATCAGTCAACACTGGACCATGATATGTACATCCTTCTGGAGAGGAAACTATGGACTGATGATGGTTCAGGAATTTTGTCTGGGGCACCTTGTGTAAGAGGCCACTTTCCTTATGTCTTTGTATACCTCAGTGTTTTAAAACCTTTATATCACGACTGTACCTTCTCATACTGCACTCCAACTATAAATTTATTTCCCCACAAAGGCAGGGCGGCAACTCTAAAAAGGAAACTCTTCCACCATAAAAAAATTTTGTAGCGATCTTTCAAATTACTCTCCAAGTTGCAACATCCATACCCATCATTCAGAGTGCTGACACTATACTTCATTCTTTGTGAAATGTTTTTATATATCTACTAAAGACAACTGGTTTTTAGCTTTGGCCTGTTCACAAATTTCAAAATTTTCACAGAACCTTATCTTCCTCTTATTTAGACATGCTCCATAATTTCCACTAACCTTTTGTGGTACATCCTGTTCAGAAACAAGCCACTCCAGTTCAGAAGCTTTGGGAAGCCTCTGTTCATTAAAATGTTTCAGCAGATTGAGTGCCACATTTTCTGCTGATGTAAGGTCACTCTTGAAGGAGGACAGTCCACTCTCTGAGTTACTTCTTGATTGCAAGATTGGAGTATCTTTAAAGCAATTTGAGAAGTAAATATTTATACAGGAATTACAGAATTTAGTGCTTAAAAACCTAATAAGCAAATAAAGTAAAGATTTCCTGTCAAGAAAAAAAAAATGGTTGATGAATCCTCATTACCTATTAAGTATCACAACATTTAGCAAAATTATTAATATGTAATCTGAAGAGTGAATAGACAAACAGAACCAATGAATGGATAGATGTAAGGGGTTTATGAAATACTCAAGAGGCACTGGAAAATTAATGGAGTAGATTAAAGGATGTTTTGACCTCTCAATGAAACACTTCATGAACATCTCTACTTCAGTCTATCACACTGTCAAAAACTTGCTCTTTGTAGCAAATTACTGTAGTGCATTTCTCAATGTGTTACCGTTTATGCCTAAAAAAAAAAAAATTTCTCTAGTCTCCTTGTATTTTTTGCAACAAGTACATACACTGTCCCTTCCTCCCTTCCCCCTCCCAACCTTTAAAAGAAAAAACAAAGGAAACACTTAACCCTTTGAGGGTCGAGAGGCCTTCTCCCAAACTTGTTCTCAGGGTCGAAAAATTAAAAAAAAAAAAAAAAAAAATCTTAAAAAATGATAATCTTTTTCTGATCACAATGACACCAAAAATATGAAATTTGATGGAAAACCTATGGAAATATGGTCTCGCGTAGTTAGAGGTCTTGATGATATTTACGCATCAGTGATTTCACCTATTTTGAGCCCTATTTTCGGCCAATTCCAATGTTCTAGTCAACTAAAATCATAGCTATTTTGCTAGAACTCCATTTGTTCTATTGACTGAGTACCAGAAACTGCCCGTTTACCGATTTCAACTACCCAATAAAGTGGTCAAAAACCTGCAATTTGGACAATTTCACATAAATTTCAAAAGATGCCAATTTCAAAATAGGGTCCAGAATAAACAAGAAAGACATTCCTGGCACAAGAATAGCATATTATCTATTCATTAGTCACGTCTCCAGGCCCCTCTTACATTACTTTTGCTTTCCATTTTGAATTTTTCTCACAAAAAAATAGAAGATTTACCGTTATGTATACTGCTGCATCATTGCAAAAACGTTATAAATAATATCAGTGCACTTGTAAAAGAATATCAAACTCACCATTTGACGTGCATTGGACTTGTGGCATGATTTGTTTACTCTTGAACATTGGCAAAAATCAAACATTTTCACTACTTTGAGCTCAATTTCAAGGTGTACTTGTCATCACGAAACCAATCAAAATCATCTCTATTTCTGTAATATATCTTCCATTCTATCAAATGAGACCAAGAAAACGAAAATACACTCGAAAGTCACTGTTTTAAACCAAAAACTCTGTTGGATAGCACTAACATCCCATATCATAAAAATCTTTGAGAGGGTTCTAAGAAACAAGATAGCCAATCACCTGGATACCCATCAATTACACAATGCAGGACAACACGGGTTTAGAGCAGGTTGCTCCTGCCTCTCTCAGCTACTGGACCACTATGACAAGGTCCTGGATACTGTAGAGGATAAACAAAATACAGATGTAGTATATTCAGACTTTGCAAAAGCTTTCGACAAGCGTGACCATGGTGTAATAGCACACAAAATGCAGGATAAAGGAATAGCGGGAAAAGTTGGTAGATGGATCTACAACTTCCTGACAAATAGAATACAAAGAGTAATAGTAAGCAGAGTAAAGTCTGAGGCAGCCATGGTAAAAAGCTCTGTTCCACAAGACACAGTACTCACTCCCATTCTATTCCTCATCCTCATTTCTGACAGACAGAGATGTAAGCCATAGCTCCATGTCTTCCATTGTGGATGACACCCGGATCACCATGGCAGTGACCTCCATCAAAGACACTGCGAGACTCCAAGCGGACATCAACCAAATCTTCGAATGGGCCACTCAAAACAATATGAAATTCAACGAGAAATTTCAACTACTCAGATATGGAAAACTTGGAGAAATTAAAAATGTGTCAGGGTATACCACAAATTCTAACCATACAATAGAGCGGAAAAGTAATGTGAAGGACCTAGGTGTGAAAATGTCAGAGGATCTCACCTTCAAAAACCACAAAAATGTATCTACCTCATCCACTAGGAAAATGATAGGATGGATAATGAGAACCTTCAAAACTAGGGATGCCAAGCCCATGATGATTCTCTTCAAATCGCTTGGGCTCTCTAGGCTGGAATACTGCTGTACACTAACGGCCCCCTTCAGGGCTGGTGACATTGCAGACCTGGAGTGTACAAAGAACTTTCACGGCACACATAAGTGCGATAAGGTACCTAAACTACTGGGAACGGTTGAAGGTCCTTGATCTGTATTCCCTCGAATGCAGGCGAGAGAGATACATGATAATATACACTTGGAAGGTCCTGGAGGGATTGGTACCAAACCTGCACACGAAAATCACTCCATATGAAAGCAAAAGACTCGGCAGGAGATGCAACATTTCCTCAATGAAAAGCAGGGGTGCCAAGAGTACATTGAGAGACAACACAGTAAGTGTCAAGGGCCCAAGACTGTTCAATTGCCTCCCAGCATACATAAGGGGGATTACCAATAGACCCCTAGCTGTCTTCAAGAAGGCACTGGACAGGCACCTGAAGTCAGTACCTGACCAACCGGGCTGTGGTTCGTACGTCAGCTTGTGTGTCACCAGCAGTAACAGCCTGGTTGATCAGACCCTGACCCACCATGAGGCCTGGTCTCAGACCGGTCCGCTGGGGCGCTGACCCCTGAAACCCTCTCCAGGTATGCACTGCGTGCTTCAGGATTTTTTTTATACTGTGCACACTGACCACACAGACCCACTCTTTCATATGAAGGCCTGCCACCTTTCTTCCACCAGACTTAAAGGCACTAGAATTTACGCATACAAGTACGTGACCGACCCTGGCTGCAATGACGTACAAGTACGTGACTAACCCTCGAAGGGTTAAGACTGTAAAATGCTCCAAAAGCAAATCAACTTCTAGTTAATTCATACCCAATACAAAATTAAATTTACATCCATTTTTATGAAAAAGATTCATGTACAGCACTACAGCCATATTCTAATTATGCTTTGTTAGTTTGTCTCCTGAATTTTGGTGGTCGCTCCTACAGCCTGGCCAGTACGACTGTGTCATTAGAGAGAATGGAACAAAGTAGAATGACTTGGAGAGCATATAAATCTGTAGGGTAAGGAAGGCAGGGTAGGGGTTGTCCCCAAAAAGGTTGGAGGGAGGGGGTAAAGGAGGTTTTGTGGGCGAGGGGCTTGGACTTCCAGCAAACATGTGTGAGCGTGTTAGATAGGAGTGAATGGAGACGAATGGTTTTTGGGTCCTGGTGGGCTGTTGGAGTGTGAGCAGGGCAATATTCTGTGAAGGAATTCAGGGAAACTGGTTAGTCAGACTTAGAGTCCTGGAAATGGGAAGTAAAATGCCTGCATTTTAAAGGAGGGGTTTGGGATATTGGGGTCTCTGCTACGACAGTGATTATGAATGAGTGATAGTGTAAGTGTCCAATGATAAAAGCTTTTTTTTTTTTCTGTGGAGGGGGGGGAAAGGGGGTTCTTTCTTTTTAGGTCACCCTGCTTTGGTGGGAAATGGTCAACACATTAAAAAAAAAAAAAAAAAAAGACAAGCCCAAGTTTTTACCCAGCTCTTGAGAGTAAATAAAGGGCTAGATGACACAGTATCTTCCTTACCTTCACAGCTTGATGACTCATCATTATCAATCTCCTCCTCCAACTCTGAGACAAGATCAGACTCACTATTATAGGTGGAGCTCTGTGGCGACTCGTACACACTGTAATCAGTTGTACCTGCAACAACAAACAATGTTGTAATTTATAATTTCTTCTAACAAAACTACAGAATTATCTCATACATAGATAAAAAAAAAAGTTTATATATTCAATAAAATAGTTGCATTACTGGCATACTGACAAAATACAAACCACAATCATATAGGGAAGGAGAACACCCAAACTTACAAGTTGTATTCTTGGTGCTCTAACTTACAAGAGTTCATGACACAGAACCTATTTTCTATTGAAAACAATAATACAAAGGATGGTAGGGTTTCACAGGTTTGTAATGCAGATTAGCAGTCAAAAATCTAATTGATTCGTAAGTACCACTTTTTGTGTGTGGATGTTTGTAACTCTGGGTGCTTTTTAAGTTAAAGGATTCCCCAGTTTGTGCATCAGCATAAGATTACAGTTTATGACAATGCATACTGAGTACTCTTACTGTCCACTTTCACTGATGGTTTTGTAGCCCAAGTCTGACACTCAGAAATAGCTTCAATTACAGCATTAGTAGAGGTAGCTGCTGACAATACAGATCCTGATAACTTTTGCCTTCTCTTCTCCTTAATACGAGCCTGCAAACTGCGAATCTCTTCATCACTCTCATCACCTGTTCCTGGGCTTGAGCAATATTTCTGCTGCCATGCATCAAACTGCATCTGGATACAAACAATTGTATTAGGAAAGAAAGGTATTATGACACTTTTGAATAAATAGAAGACATTTTAAAATAGCTATTTGTTTGTATATTGCTTAAAACTTAGTTACAGTTTATTATGGTACACATAAAACAAGAAAAGGAAACAAAAAGATTCCCATAATACTGCAGTGTGCAAGGTAATATGAAACAATACTGCCTATCTTTAATTAGCCCTCTTCTCAAGTAAATTTCCCTGAATTCCTTCATAAATGTTACCTTGCCATAAAAAGCATTTGCCTCTACTCACTCTGATCTAAAATACTCACACAAGCTTGTTGGATGCTTAAGCCCCCTAGCACTCAAACCACCTTTACCCCTTCCCTCCAGCCCTTTTCCCTCCTGCCTTTCTAACTCAGATTTATATACCCTCTTGGTCACCCTATCCTGTTCCAACCTCTAAATGTCCAACCAATCAGTAATGCCTCATCAGCCCTATGAATTATACCTTTGGTAACCCCTGTCTTCTAATTTCTACATTCCAAATTCTCTGTATATTATTCACATAAGGAAGATCTAATCCCTTTGATTGGCATCAAGGAATCTTCCTGAAAGGGCCACTCTGAATAAGATTCATTATCTAATAATCCTGCACCACTCCCCAGTATCTAGCATTCACTTCTTTTACAACTTCATATGTTAAACAATAGTGACATCACACATGAATAATATTTGGTGATTACTGAAAATGAGGGTGCTAACTCACAGTACAAGTCATTAAAAAAATAGTATATAATAAACTAATATAACTAGAACCTGATATCAAATTGGGGAGGAGGAGTATGGAAGAAGTGAATGTTTTCAGATACTTGGGAGTTGACGTGTCGGCGGATGGATTTATGAAGGATGAGGTTAATCATAGAATTGATGAGGGAAAAAAGGTGAGTGGTGCGTTGAGGTATATGTGGAGTCAAAAAACGTTATCTATGGAGGCAAAGAAGGGAATGTATGAAAGTATAGTAGTACCAACACTCTTATATGGGTGTGAAGCTTGGGTGGTAAATGCAGCAGCGAGGAGACGGTTGGAGGCAGCGGAGATGTCCTGTTTAAGGGCAATGTGTGGTGTAAATATTATGCAGAAAATTCGGAGTGTGGAAATTAGGAGAAGGTGTGGAGTTAATAAAAGTATTAGTCAGAGGGCAGAAGAGGGGTTGTTGAGGTGGTTTGGTCATTTAGAGAGAATGGATCACAGTAGAATGACATGGAAAGCATATAAATCTATAGGGGAAGGAAGGCGGGGTAGGGGTCGTCCTCGAAAGGGTTGAGAGAGGGGGGTAAAGGAGGTTTTGTGGGTAAGGGGCTTGGACTTCCAGCAAGCGTGCGTGAGCGTGTTAGATAGGAGTGAATGGAGACGAATGGTACTTGGGACCTGACGATCTGTTGGAGTGTGAGCAGGGTAATATTTAGTGAAGGGATTCAGGGAAACCGGTTATTTTCATATAGTCGGACTTGAGTCCTGGAAATGGGAAGTACAATGCCTGCACTTTAAAGGAGGGGTTTGGGATATTGGCAGTTTGGAGGGATATGTTGTGTATCTTTATATGTTTATGCTTCTAGACTGTTGTATTCTGAGCACCTCTGCAAAAACAGTGATAATGTGCGAGTGTGGTGAAAGTGTTGAATGATGATGAAAGTATTTTCTTTTTGGGGATTTTCTTTCTTTTTTGGGTCACCCTGCCTCGGTGGGAGACGGCCGACTTGTTGAAAAAAAAAAAAAAAAAAAAAACTAGAACCTAAGTATAACTTAAGACATGACTTGTAGCTTAGTGGCCAATGTAACTGCCTCATCTAGCATTAGGTATCTGTTAAACATGATACCTACACACTAGGTCACAAAATATGAAAAAAAAAAAAAAAGGATGTTAAGAATTATTTCTTCTCAAACAGTGGTAGAGTGCTGGAATGGGATCTGATGAGGTAAAACAACTTAAAAAAAATTATGACAAAAGAGTGAAGACACCTCTGACATATCTCTGCCCTTATTGATACAAATACAACAGGTAATTATAATTACTATATGATATTTATGGGAAAACATTAAACTGGTAAGGGTCACACTGCACTTGAAGAATAGAGGGTAATGAAGTTTAAAGTTTGATCCAAGGAAGATAACTTCAATTCCTTAGATCAGGAATCCTTCACTAGCATCAAGGTACCTCCTCCCATTTAACCCTTTGAGGGTCGACAGGCCCTCTCCGAAACTCGTTCTCAGGGTCGGCCAAATTTAAAAAAAAAAAAAAAATTATTTTCTCTTATGAAAAGATAGAGAATCTTTTCCCGATCATAAAGACACCAAAAGTTTGAAATTTGATAGAAAACTTACGGAATTATGCTCTCGCAAAGTTAGCGGTCTCGGCGATGTTTACGCATCGGCGATTTTGCCCACTTTGAGCCCCATTTTCGGCCAATTTCACTGTACTAGTCGGCAAAAAACATGAATATTTCGCTAGAACTCCATTTTTTCTATCGAATGGGTGCAAGAAACCACTCATTTATGAAATTCAACTATCCAGTACAGTGGTCAGAATTTAGCAATTTTGCCAATTTCACACAAATTTCAAAAGATGCCAATTTCCGAATAGGGTCCAGAATAAACAAGAAAGACATTCCTGGCACTAAAATGACATTTCCTCTAGTCATTAGTCACGTCTCAAGGCCCCTCTTATATTCTTTTGCTTTCCACTTTGAATTTTTATTTTCACACAAAATATAAGATTTACTGTTATGCAGACTACTGTATTAGTGTAAAAAATGGTATAAATATTATTGGTGCACTTGTGAAAGAATATTAGACTCACCAGTTGACGCGTATTGCACACTTGGCACGATTTGTTTACTTTTGAAGTTTGGTAAAAATCGAACATTTCTGCTACTTTGAGCTCAATTTCAAGGCACCTTTCTTTGTAAAACCAGTCAAAATCATCTCAATTTCTGTAATATGTCTTCCATTCTATAAAATGAGACCAAGAAAACTAGAATACAACAATAAATACCATACGAAAATACACTGCAAAGTCGCTGATTTATTAAAAAAAAATGGTCAAAGTTTTTTTTTTCTCATTATGCACTGTGTGCTGCAGGATTTTTTTTAGACTGTGCACACTGACCACATAGACCCATTCTTTCATATGAAGGCCTACCAGCTTTCTCCCACTAAATTTGAGGCCGCTAGAATTTATGAGTACTAGTACGTCAAAAACCCCTACGCGTAAGACGTACTAGTACGACGAAAACCCTCAAAGGGTTAAGGATACAAATAAGTAATCCCAAATAGATAATCACATTACCTGTGTCAGTGCAGCAATCACAGCTTCAGAGATGCTGAAATGAGCATTTTCTCTATCTAATTCAGCATACTGCTTATGGAACTCTTTGGATGAAAGAAATCCAATGAGAGACTGTCCTGGCTGAGGACGAGGGAAGAAGCCATTGTCAGCGGCAGGAGTTATGCTATGACCCCCGTCTTCCATAAAACGCTTGCGAACTTGAACTGATGCACTTGTCCCAGAGTCTTTTGGTTTAGCCGAGACCTTAGCCATTTTCATCTTTGACTCTAATTCTGGTGCTGTGTTAGACTGTGAAAGATGCAATTTTCCTACTAATTCCTGCGAACCATCAGAATGAGAGCGACCATGAGTTTTTTTCTTTATTTCAGTTGTCTCCCTGGGTAATGAATTTGGTGTTGAAACACACTGTGGTGCACTTAATGCTACATTAGCCATAACTTCAACAGGTAGAGTAGCAGAAACTGGAGTTGAAACAGCATGTGGAAGGATGATTTTGGTGACAGCTTTTGGAGTAGAGGTTACAGGAACTTTCGTAGTCTGTGGCAACTCTGATGATGTAGGTTCAGCACTACAAGGATGGCTGCGTGAGCAGGAAGTTGATATAACAGCTTGATGGACCATACTCTTATCACAGTAACTGGACTGCTCTGAAATATTTTTTACACGGTCATCTGAAGAGTTAGCCTGATGATTACCTTCAGATTTCAAAATGCCACGGCTATCTACTAAACATTTGACAGAAAAGCCTGAAGACTGAATTGTTGATGGTAATCGCCGTCTTCTCCGAGAAACCTGAGAAGGAATCCCATCCACTGTTTCTTCACTATCCTGGTCACTGTCTGCAGGTACAGATACTAATCTTCCACTACTAGCACGGTGTCGTAACTGTGGAGTTTTCAACCCTGAACCTTTAGGTCTATGGATGCTGCAAGTAGTGCTGCTGTCCCCATCACTAGTGGAACACTCCCCTCCATAATTCACCTGCAAGAGGCTTGGAGAAATATTACTCACTGGTACACCACCACTGTCATTTATATCTAAATATTCCAAAAAAGAAACTGGCTGATTATCTGATTGAGAGGTGGTTGATAGCTCCTTGGGTCTTGCTCCAGTATCATTTGTTAAAATATGGCTAGTTTTGCACTGAATCAGTGTTGATGTTAAAGGAGACGAGTTACTTGATACCTGCGAAGTTTCCTGTGTTAAGAATACCTGTACAGACTGATCAACAGGACTCATTGCAGGCCAGTCAGAGCAATCTGAGCTGCCATCTGGACTCTCCCTCTGCATAAGTGTTACATCTTGAGCCTCCACACTGTCTGCATTTAAGGTTTTTATGTTATAGGTAGATATAGGGTGCATTTCTTTGCTCTTAAGAGATTCAATGGTATCTAAAGAAGGACTAGAGTAAATCGATTCTTTTCTTAAAATTTCCTTCTTTAAATTCTTTCTTGGTCTACTAGATGGTGACAACACTGTTGGCCACTCCTTCTCTGTAACTGGACTGGTTGGTAAAGATGATGCATTCATTTTAGGTTCAGATTTACTAATCAAATCAGTGTGTAGTGTAGCTGCAGTTCCAGGCAGTGGCTGGTATGCTCCAACAATCTGCAGAAAAGTATCAGTGTTACATATAATGGAGTCTGCAGAAATGCAAATCAATATGGATACTGAAATAGCATAACCAATTTATCAGCCAAAATATCAACATATACATAATCTTTTATAGCTTCCATTTTCTTATCAATGCTTTTTCTTAAGTATTCCTATAGTATTCTAATTCAATATAATCTTGCTCAATTATACCCTATTCAGAAACAAAGTCAAGTTCATAATTATTGTTATTTTCATTGATTAAAAAATTATACTAGAATTTACTAACTAGTCTGGAATTTATGTCAGCCAAGAGAGACTGAGAATTCTCTTCAAGAGCTCGAAGACAAGTTATCACAGCTGAAACATGTTCTTGAGAATACATTAATGCCCATGGCTGATAATGCTTCTGAACATAGTCTCTGCAAAGAAAAACTGGACGTTAGTGGCAGAAAAAAACGGTTTCGAGATAAATTACAATGTAAAAAATATTGTAATGTCCTAACATCCTAAAGTAACAATCATGTTTTAAGGCTTGTATATACTGCATGTATGTATGTATGTGTGGACAAACACATGCACGTACACACACATGCATATGCACATGAGATTTCACAAGAGTAGTGTTTGGGAGAGAAAAAAGGACATTTAGCATGTGAGAAGGTAAAGTAAGAGTGGAAATTTCTAAGTCCAAGGACTGAGGGTCACGAATGTGGAGGGCAGATTAAAGCAAAATGTATTCCTCAAGTCTGCTATTTTCCAACATTAACTGGTCCTCTGCCAAAATTGTCTACCTTTCTTCTAGCCTTCATGGACACCATCTTGTTGAAGCATCCCTTATACACAACTTTTCTAATATGAATCTTAGTCCTGGCTTTGTCTCTGTAGATGCCTTCCTTTCTCATTACACTGTTAAATGCTCCAAACTTCAGAATACTCATGACTTGACCTTATCTTGATCTCCTCCTTTCCAATATTTTCTTTGCCTAGGTTAAGTTCTGTCCTACAAGTCTAACCCCAGGGCTTTTGGTCCCAAACTCATGGGCCATTAGCTCTCCTGCAGTGCTTCTAATTCTTTTTTTTTCTATTGTCCTCAGACCATTATTGCTTTGCCTACACCACTAATTCATGTCACCACCACTACTTCCTTCTTATTATCACCTCTGGCACTTTTGTACTACTCTTACTACTATCACTACTATCATCACCACCACAAGTACTACCATTATACTACTACCTAACCACTGTACAAACGGGGTTAGAACCCATGACAACTGAGCCGTAAAACTCCAAGCCAGCTGGCTACAGTAAGATTCATCCAACTAGGTATATTTATACACCAGAGGGAGGTTAGCATGCATCCCACCGTGACCACAAATGCAAGTTTTAACAGATGAATCTCCCGCCAGTGTGGCTGTGATGAACTCTAGCTTATGTCCCGTAAAAGCTGTCATCATGTCTCACAAAACTGTAATAACACAACTGCAAACAAATCACGGTATAGGCGGGGTTAGAACCCACAACGAGTCTTAAAACGACAGCCTGAGCTAGAATTCGTTATGGCCATGCTGGCGGGAGATTCATCAGTAAAAATTTGCATTTGTGGTCACAGTGAGATGTATGCTAACCTCCCTAGAGTGTATAAATATTCCAAGTTGAATGAATCTTACTGTAGCCAGCTAGCCCAGTGGCTTGCGGACTGGCCTGGAGTTTTACGACTCACTTGTCATGGGCTCTAACCCCACCAGTACCGTGGTTTGTTTGCAATCGTGTTACTACAATTTCATGAGTTATACTACTGCCTCCTCTCATTCTACTCCTTGCCCTGGCCCCTCTTATATATATACTGGCTCCCTTCCCTTTACGCTTCTGTGTGACTAGTTAATGATCCAAGTCAGACCAAAACATCGTCCTAAGTTTCATTTTCTCATGTGGGGGTGTGTGTGTGTCTTTATTGTTCCAGTCATGGTATTGTACCTTTTTATTCTCTATAGATAAAAATCCCAGTTAAACTGAGTACCTGTCAGAGGTAAGTGCTTCAATTTTAGCTGCAAGTTGAAGCTTCTCCAAAGACATACGAATCCAATCATCAGCTGGCTGAGGGGTAGTGGTCATCTTTACACAAGGCCCAAGTGCTGGGTTGAGAACCCGTAGGCCAACGACAAATGGCCACACATCTGCATTACCCTGTAATACAAAAAAAAAATATATCCTCATAAATCTCACCATCACAATGCAGTCTCTACATCAAGAATTAACTCCTAATTCAGCGAGATGTATTTCAGTCGCTGGGCAATCCAAAGAAATCCCTATATTCCACAAACCCTGTGCCTCAATTCACACCAGTGGAATGGTGGAGAATGCTGCCTAAGTTCATAATGCAGTTAAATATTAGCACTGAAGTCAAACATTTGAAAAAGACCAAAGAGACTAATTTCCTAAAATACACAAGCACATTAAGCTTGAATCTGCTCAGCAGTTGAAACAGCAAGTTATCAGCATGGAAGGCTTGAAGCTAATGAGATGCAACACTCAGAAAAGCCTTATTGTATGTATTTCAATTTTTCCAATTTCTTTCAAAAAAGCAAACTGGGATCCACAGAGGCCAAAATCAGTCCAAACTTTCCTCTAAGGAAGACTGACAAGCTTTAAGAAATTACAAAAAGTTAGTTTTATACAAGCTTCTTTTTTTTTTTTTTTTTTTTTTTTTAGCAATTGTCTACAGAGTTCATAGATGTTATAGACACACAAAAACATTACTGTAAGTTGATTTAACCTAGGATAACCAAACAAAGTCAAACACAATAACTTATTTCTGCACAGAAGAGATACTATTCTCCAATTATTTCACAGAAGCCAATTTGAATAATAAAATTGGCACATAACTTACACAACTTAACATGAAGAGATTGTTTCCTTCAAAGAAAACAAACCAGCACTAAAAGTTTAAAGCTGACCAGATGCATTTTCCAGTTATTGTAAAGAATACAACAAAATTTGTGCCTACACAGCCTAAGCCCAGGAAATGTTCCATCCATTTCATATGATTCCTCAGTCATTGAGAATTGATTCCATTCACAATTATATTTTTATGAGAGGAAAGCACTAAACCTATAGGGATCATGTAATGCCTGTGGAATAGGGGAGGGGGATCATTCAAATTTGATCCAAGCACGAGGAAGGCAAGTCCAGTTCCTTGATTCAAAAGCCCAACAGCAGTATCAAGGCAAAAATAATGCATTAAGGTAAAAATAATACCATACCATTTTGAAATTATAAGTGGCAAAATGGCCTTTACACACACTCCATTAAATATAGCAACCTTCTTCTAAGCAGGAGACACAAGTGCTGAAATTTTGAAGCCAATCAGAAGAGACTGTCCCCTCCTATCACACTGAAACAAAATTTGGGAATGACCAATGTAGTAATGTACACAGGACACCCATGAATGCAAACAGTCCCATGAATCTTGCCCAAAATACATTACACAAACAGTGAAAATTTAAATCCGATTGAAAAAGGTGTTCTTGGGCATTAAAAAAAATTGCAAGAAAGCAATCTAAAATGTTGCCAAGAATGCTCCAAAAAAATAAAGTCTCCCCTTGTTAATCTAAAAGCACCATAAAACTATAGATTTTTTCCACTTAACCCTTTGACTGTCGCAACCCCCAATCCTGAGGTGTCTCCTGGTGTCGCAAAATTTAAAAAAAAAAAAAAATTATTTTTTCTTATGAAATGATAGAGAATCTTTTCCCGATTGTAATGACACCAAAAAAACGAAATTTGATGGAAAACTGACGGAATTATGCTCTCGCGAAGTTAGCGACCTCGGCGCTGTTTACAAATCGGCGATTTCGCCCACTTTGAGCCCTATTTTCGGCTAATTCCATTGTTCCAGTCGCCCAAACTCATAGCTATTTCTTTAGAACTTCATTTTTTCTATCGATTGAGTACAAGAAACTGCCCATTTACTGATTTCAACTACCTAATAATGTGGTCAGAAATTTGCAATTTGGCCAATTTCACGAAAACTAAAAAATATGACAATTTCAAAATAAGGTCCAGAATGAACAATGCAGACATTTCAGGCTCTAAAATAACGTTTTCTTTGTTCATCAGTCACGTCTCCAGGCCCCTCTGATATTACTCTTGCTTTCTATTTTGAATTTTTATTCAAACAAAAAATATTAGACTTACTATTATGCAGACTACTGCAATGCTGTAATAACTGTATAAATAACATCAACCCATTCATGACTGCATATTAGAATGGCTAGTTGGACATTTATTGGACAATGGCATCATTTGTTTACTTTTGAACATTGGCAAAAATCAAACATTTCCCCTACTTTGAACTCCATTTCTAGGTTCTTTTTATAGTAAAATCAATCAAAAACACCTCTATTTCTGTAATATGTTTTCCATTCTATCAAATGAGACCAAGAAAACGAGAATACAACCATAAATACTATACGAAAATAGACCACAAAGTCGGCATTTTAATTAAAAAAAACGGTCGGAGTTTTTTTTTCTCATTATGCACTGCGTGCTCCAGGATTTTTTTTATATGGTGCACACTGACCACACAGACCCATTCTCTCACATGTGGGCCTACCAGCTTTCTCCTGCTTGATTTGAAGCCGCTAGAATTTATGAGTATATATACGTCAAACACGGCACCTCGTAAAACGTATATGTACGGCCGCGACAGTCAAAGGGTTAAATTTTGTATTCTTTCTATTTAGAATTCTCTACAATCCTATAAGAAAAATTTATTTTGATATTTTTAAAAAATCCAATTTGATAAAATTGGCAAAAACAGAAAAATCTGCAAAAGTGGCACGCCCACAGTTCAAAATGATACAAAAATACTTCCTATTAAAATATACGAGTTTAGCTAATGAATAAAAAAAATGAGTATCAATATTCATTCAACAAAACTAGCAAATTGGGATTTATACCACCCAATGGAAGCAAGAGCCTTGTGTTCTGAAAATTGCTCCATTAATGAAAATTTGAAGCCAACTAGACGAGTTATTCTCTGGTTATGGTGTGTATTTCAATGATTAAATTTTTTTTTTAATATTTTACATCAACAAATTCGCTTGGATGCAAATAAACCTTAGGTACTATCTTGGCCTTAAGAAGCATCAGCCATTAAATTCTGAAGTTGTTCAAAGAGGTAAACTGAAAATTATTTAACATGATTTAATAGGAATACAAATTTCACACTTTTACACAAAATGGCCAAATTTGAACCTACACATTTGAACTTCACATTCCACTATCAAATTTTTTGAACACTTGAAGTTACACCACTGAGAATTTTGGAAATTATCCAGTGCATGCCAGGAGGGTGGGACCGAATCAATAACTTTGATCAAAAGGCATGTGAACACGCCAATCCTTACAAGAATTATGTCCTCATTACCATACCAAAGTGTTGAAAATATGAAAGCTACTGGATGAGGCATTCTAGAGTTGAGTAGATACAAATAAAGTTGGAAGAAAGACAAAAATTTTAGGCACCGTCTTAACCCTTTGAGGGTCTGTCCCGTACTTCTATGGCTTTGAAGCCAGGGTCCAAACCATAGTACTACATCATGAGCTCAACTCACTCAAATAAGCTGTGAATGGTAAATTTGGGCCTAGATATGAGAGAATGCATCTGTTTGGCAACTGTGCACCACATAGAAACAAATCCTGCAGCGCGCAGTGCATAATGAGAGAAAAAATGCAACCGTGCTTTTGGATTAAAACAGCGACTGTGCAGTGTACAGTATTTTCGTATTTATGGTTGTATTCGCGTTCTCTTTGTCTCATTTGATAGAATGGAAGATATGTTACAGAAATAGAAATGATTTTGATTGGTTTTAGTACTCAAAATAGCTTGAAATTGAGCTCAAAGTAGTGGAAATGTTTGACTTTTGCTGACATTCAAGAGTAAACAAACCACATCACACGTCCAATACACGTCAGCTGGTGGGTCTAATGTGCAGTTCACAAATGTGCTGATACTATTTATACAATTATTACAATATTGCAATATTACAATATCTTTTATCTTTTGGTGTGAATAAAAATTCTTTATGTGAATAAAAAATCAAAATGGAATTCATGTGTAAAGCCTGGAAATACAACTAATAAACAGAGGAAGTGTTATTTTAGTGCCAGAAATGCCTGCACTGTTTATTCTGGATCCTATTTTGAAATTGGAATATTTTGAACTGTGTGAAATTGGCCAAATTACCACTTTATTGGGTAGTTAAAATGGTTGGGCAAAATTTTGTGCTCAATAGATAAAATGGAATATATTCTAGTAAAATAGCTAAGAATTTGTTCTAATGGAACAATGTAATTGGTCGAAAACAGGACTCAAAGTGGGCAAAAATCGCTGATGCATATATATTGATGACACAGCAAAATTCACGAGAGCGTTATTTCATCATTTTCTTTTTTTATCAAGTTTTGCAATTTTTGTTTTATTACCTTCAGAAAAATATTCTCTACCATTTCATAAGAATTTTCTTTTGGGAAAATGCTTGGACCCTGTGGGAAATTTTAAGATTGGCTATCTAGACCCTCAAAGGGTTAAAGGTAACCCTTTTGGCATTCTAATAAAATATTACATTTCCTAGGCCTAGAAAAGGTTGGGTACTGTATAGCACAAGTGAATATGGTACTTATGTCAAAGCCCTCAAGAAGAATACTGTACCTGATCTTTGGACATCTAAAATAGAACAAGAAAGTTAGAAGAATTCGATAACTTAGTAACCAGTGACATTCATATATCCATTATTTATTAGATTAAACTTTTTGGGAGTGGACAGGTCAGTAGATGGGTCTATGAAGGATGAGGTAAATCACAGAAATGACGAGGGGGAAAAAGGCGAGTGGTGCACTGGGGCGTCTGTGGAGACAAAGAACTTTATCCATGAAAGCAAAGAGGGGAATGTATGAGAGGATAGTTATACCAACGCTCTCATATGGATGTGAGGCATGGGTGGTGAATGTTTTAACAAGGAGAAAGCTGGAGGCAGTGGAGATGTCATGTCCGAGGGCAATGTGTGGAGTGAATATAATACAGAGAATCCATAGCTTGGAGATTAGGAGGTGTGGGATTACCAAAACTATTATCCAGAGGGCTGAGGACAGGTTGAGATGGTTTGGACACGCAGAGAGGTTGGAATGAAATAGAATGACTTTAAGAGTATACAAATCTGTAGTGGAAGGAAGGCAGGGTAGAGGTTGGCCAAGGAAAGGTTGGAGGGGAAAGGGGGGTAACGGAGGTTTTGTGTGCAAGGGGCTTGGACTTCCAGCAAGCATGCGTGAGCGTGTTAGACAGGAGCGAATGGAGACAAATGATTTTTAGGACTTGACATGCTGTTGGAATATCAGCAGGGTAACATTTACAAAAGGATTCAGGAAAACCGGGCAGCTTGGACTTGATTCCTGGAGAAGGGAAGTACAGTGCTGGCACTCTGAAGGAGGGGTGTTAATGCTGCAGTTTTATAACTGTAATGTAAGCAAGTCTCTGGCAAGACAGTGATGGAGTGAATGATGATGTAAGTTTTTCTTTTTAAGGCAACCCTGCCTTGGTGGGAAACAGCTGATGTGTTAATAAAAAAAAATTAATGGATTAAATACTGTATAACTACAAAAAGACATCTAAAGAATTGTAAACCCTCAGTATAATGGATTCTGGAAACATGGGGCAAAAGTCACAAGATTAACCAATTCATAAACAAAGTTCATTGGAAAAAAAAAAAAAAAATGACAGCATATATAAATAGTAAAACGATGATCATAATAATAAAATAAGAAATCAGCAGAGTGATGATTTTAAAAACACTGAAATTTGAAGAAGCACCGACTGCTTATCAAAAAAGCAAAAACTTGTATTAAGTATGAGAAATTAGTTTCTTTTAACACAACTGCTGTTGAAAGGCCAAAACCTAGCAATAATAATAATAAATAAAAGAGAAATACATTAGCCCCATTAATTGCACACGAGATCAATATTAAATAGCAATGACTGAGGAAAAAAATATCACTTGGCTACATAACTGCTAGCAGTACTGTACCTCAAGTAAGCCAAAATCACTGAAGAACTTCAGTAGGTCCTGTTTACTGGTTATTTCATGAAGTATATTCCACAAACTACACAGCAACACTGACTCCATTGAAGGATTACAGGTAAAGCCTAATACAGTGGATCCCTGAGTTTCATGACTAATCCATTCCAGAGAGTCTGCATAAAGTCGAAATTCACGAAACTTGAAACCATTTTCCCCACAAGAAATAATGTAAATCCAATTAATCCATTCCAGACACCCAAAAGTATTAACAAAATTTTTTTTATATAGATTAAATATTGATATACATATAGAAAAGAATGAGGAAATCAAGTATAAAACAATATCACACTTGCCTTTATTGAAGACTTGTTGGTGTATGGAACATAAGAAAGCAGGAACACTGCAGCAGACTTGTTGGTCCATACTAGGCAGGCCTTTCATAAACCATCCCACTAACAGAATGTTTGCCCAACCCAATTTTCAATGCTCCCCAAGCAATAAGCTTTGATAATTCTATTCACTCATGTGCAAGTCCTACTCAAATCAAATCGTGTGTGTGGGGAAGTACCCAGGCTGGTGTGTTCTTTCTTGAATTCTATTGTGTTTCTCGCCTTCTTTGTCAAAGGGCTGGCACTAGGAGCTCTCTTTTGGCCATGGTGGCTTATTTAGCAGTTGCAAACCAAAAACAATGGATTATTACGAAATTTATTGTATGAACGCGTGGGGTGATGGTCACTTGCCGAGAAAGAATGACACACTGACTCTGAATGGTATGTGTGGGAGCCATTATGTGTGCGCAGCTGCTGGGAGGCCGCTCAGAGGCATTCAACACGAACGCCGAATGTTAAGGCAAATCATGAAACTTGAGGCTATATTCTGACGAAAAAGTTGCCAAAAGTCGAAATTTACGAAGCGCAGGTCTCATGAAACTCAGGGTTATTATTGAAAGAATTAGAGGCAAGACAGAATGTAGAATTGTGGATGAGCAAGGAGGTTTCAGAGTGGGTAGGGGATGTGTAGATCAAGTGTTTACATTGAAGCATTTATGTGAACAGTATTTAGATAAAGGTAGGGAAGTTTTTATTGCATTTATGGATTTAGAAAATGCATATGATAGAGTGGATAGGGGAGCAATGTGGTAGATGTTACAAGTACAGTATATGGAATAGGTGGTAAGTTACTAAATGCTGTAAAGAGTTTTTATGAAGATAGTGAGGTTCAGGTTAGGGTGTGTAGAACAGAGGGAGACTACTTCCCGGTAAAAGTAGGTCTTAGACAGGGATGTGTAATGTCACCACGGTTGTTTAATATATTTACAGAAGGGGTTGTAAAAGAAGTAAATGCTAGGGTGTTCGGGAGAGTGGTGGGATTAAATTGTGGGGAATGAAATACAAAATGGGAAGTGACAGTTACTTTTTGCTGATGATACTGTGCTTATGGGAGATTCTAAAGAAAAATTGCAAAGGATAGTGGACAAATTTGGAAGTGTGTGTAAAGGTAGAAAGTTGAAAGTGAACATAGAAAAGAGTAAGGTGATGAGGATATCAAATGATTTAGATAAAGAAAAATTTGATATCGAATTGGAGAGGAGGAGTACGGATGAAGTGAATGTTTTCAGATATTTGGGAGTTGACGTTTCAGCAGATGGATTTATGAAGGATGAGGTTAATCATAGAATTGATGAAGGAAAAAATGTGAGTGGTGCATTGAGGTATATGTGGAGACAAAAAATGTTATCTATGGAGGCAAAGAAGGGAATGTATGAAAGTATAGAAGTATAGAAAGTATAGAAGCTTGGGTTGTAAATGCTGCAGCGAGGATGCAGTTGGAGGCAGTGGAGATGTCCTGTCTAAGGGCAATGTGTGGTGTAAATATTATGCAGAAAATTCGGAGTGTGGAAATTAGGAGGTGTGGAGTTAATAAAAGTATCAGTCAGAGCGCTGAAGAGGGGTTGTTGAAGTGGTTTGGTCATTTAGAGAAAATGGATCAAAGTAGAATGACATGGAGAGCATATAAATCTGTAGGGGTCGCCCTCGAAAAGGTTGGAGGGAGGGGGTGAAGGTTTTGTGGGCGAGGGGCTTGGACTTCCAGCAAGCTTGCGTGAGCATGTTAGATAGGAGTGAATGGAGACAGATGGTATTTGGGACCTGACAAACTGTTGGAGTGTGAGCAGGGTAATATTTAGTGAAGGGATTCAGGGAAACCGGACTTGAATCCTCGAAATGGGAAGTACAATGCCTGCACTTTAAAGGAAGGGTTTAGGATATTGGCAGTTTGGAGGGATATGTTGTGTATCTTTATACATATATACTTCTAAACTGTTGTATTCCGAGCATCTCTGCAAAAACAGTGATTATGTGTGAGTGAGGTGAAAGTGTTGAATGATAAAAGTATTTTTTTGGGGGGGATTTTCTTTCTTTTTGGGTCACCCTGCCTCAGTGGGAGATGGCCGACTTGTTAAAAAAAAAAAATGTACATCAGATTGGAAATTTTGAAATAGCAATTTCCATAAAGCTGAGTTTTTAACCTATCGATGAAAGACGTATTTTAGTCCCTTAAGGCAGTAAGCAAAGAACTCCAGTGGAGCTTAAAATACAGTGGACCCCCGGTTCGCTAAGTCATCGGTATCCGATAAATCCGGTATCCGAAGCATTATATCGCAAAAAATTTGCCTCGGTTCCCGTTACAAAACCCGGTTTGCGATACAATTCGTACAAGACGTGTCCACGTGTGGCCTGAACTGCCCCATATGTGCCAGTGTTTACAAGCCAGCCAGTGTGCGCGCATCTAAGGATACATTCGGTACATTCCATATTATCATTGTTTTTGGTGCTTATTTCTGCAAAATAAGTCACCAAGGGCCCCAAGAATACTTTTAGTGCCAACCCTGTGGTAAAAAAGGGTGAGAATTAGTATGGAAATTAAGAAAGATTTTGAAGGGTTTGGGGCTAACCCTGAGAAGCCTATGCCAGTTGTGGAATCCATTGTGCCTACTTCAAAAATTAAGGAAATGTGTGCACAGTGGGTTGAACTGCAAACCTTTATGGATAAAAATCACCCTAACACAGCTATTGCAAGCCGTGCTGGTGACTATTACACTGACAATGTTGTGAACCACTTCAGGAAAGTCATAAAGGAATGAGAGGTACAGGCCTCTATGGACAGATATGTTGTGCAACACAAGTCCAGCGACTCTCAAGCTGGTCCTAGTGGCATTAAAAGAAGAAGGGAAGTAACCCCAGAAAAGGACTTGCTACCTCAAGTCCTAATGGAGGGGGATTCCCCTTCTAAACATTAAAAACTTCGACACTCTCCCCTCCTCCCATCCCATCAATCATCACCAGATCTTCATTAAAGGTAAGTGTCAATTATTCTATTGTGATTATTCTATTGTTATTATTGTTATTGTAATTATTCTATTGCATTAAACTTAATATTTCATGTGGTAAAAGTTTTTTGTTTTCATACTTTTGGGTGTCTTGCATGGATTAATTTGATTTCCATTATTTCTTATGGGAAAAATTGATTCGCTTTCCGATAATTTTGCTTTACAATGAGCTCTCAGGAACGGATTAATAACGTGAACCGGGGGTCCACTGTATTTAAAAAAAAAGACCAAAGAAAAATATTTCCAGGAGCGAAACTTCTGTACAGTATAATTTTCCTGAATGCATATCAGCACTCAGGAAGGAACATACATTGAGGATCTATAGAATTGCAATCAATGTGTTACTACAGAGCTTAAAAACTAACAATTTAATAATTTATGGCAGTAAGACTAATAAAAAAAAAATTTTATAAACTCACCAGCACATCTGTATGTTTGCAACCATGGCAAAAAATATTTTTTACAGTTTCATATACACGCTGAAACCCTCCATATATCTGTAAAGAAAATGTATTTTAATTAAAGAATTTTTTTTATATAAACAATATGTTTTTACCATCAGCATCAAGTACTGCTGTAGATATTTACATGGCTGAAGCTTCCCGTGGTGTGCAAGAGTGGCAGGGAGTTGTACGGAAACTGAGGCGTTAAGAATGGTGGGTGGAATAGGTTTTAAAGTACACAGTGTGGAGAGGGAAGCAGAGAGGGTAAGATGGGAAAGAATAGCCTGGAGATGAAAGGGGAACCGAGGGGCTAAAACTAGGGGTGGAGATAATATGGAGACGCATAAAGAGCTGAGGGGGGATAGGGAGGTACAAGTGGGATGGAATACTCTAGAGCTGCAAAAGGAAATAGAAAAAGATGGTGAGGGAGAATTTTACTATTTTATTTACGAGTTGTGTGAATAAACCCTTAAACAGATCAAATGAAAAAGGCGGCAACAAAAGAATTTGTATGTAATTAGTATGTAAAACTATAGTTATTCTCTATAAAATGTATTTTTTGTTAATATTTCCCATAAGAAATAATGTAAATCCAATTAATCCATTCCAGACACCCAAAAATATTAACAAAAAATACATTTTATAGAGAATAACTATAGTTTTAAATACAAACTAGGGCATATGAAAACCGAGGTTTCACTGTTTATTTCAGCCAAAAACTGAGGCTCTTTGCTCAAGAGACTGAACACTAAAAACAGGATACCAAAAGCATATTATTACAGGTTAGATAAAGTTAGATAAGGAGTGAATGGAGACGAATGGTTTTTGGGACCTGACGAGCTGTTGGAGTGTGAGCTGGGTAATATTTTGTGAAGGGATTCAGGGAAACCAGTTAGCCAGACTTGAGTCCTGGAAATGATAAGTACAATGCCTGCACTTTAGCCCTTTCAGGGTTGGTGCTGTACTAGTACGGCTTGCACGCCAGGGTCGGTGTCATACTAGTACACGTAAATTCTTGTGCCTTCAAATCTAGCGAAAGCTGGTAGGCCTACATATGAAAGAATGGGTCTGTGGGGTCAGTGTGCACAGTATAAAAAAAAATCCTGCAGCACACAGTGCATAATGAGAAAAAAAAACTCCGACCATGTTTTTTATTTAAAACAGTGATTTTGCAGTGTATTTTTGTATGGTATTTATGATTGTATTCTAGTTTTCCTGGTCTCATTTTATAGAATGGAAAACATATTACAGAAATTGAGATGATTTTGATTAGTTTCACAATGAAAAGTACCTTGAAATTGAGCTCAAAATAGTAGAAATGTTCGATTTTTGCCAAAGTTCAAAAGTAAACAAATCATGCCATGCATCCAATACATATCAACTGGCGAGTCTAATATTCTTTCACAAGTGTGCTGATATTATTTATACCATTTCCACACTAATGCAGTAGTCTGCATAACAGTAAATCTTCCATTTTTTTTGTGAGAATAAAAATTCAAAGTGGATAGCAAAAGAAATTTAAGAGGGACCTGGAGACGTGACAAATGAACAGAGGAAATGTTATTTTAGTGCCAGAAATGTCTCTCTTGTTTATTCTGGACCCTATTTGAAAATTGGCATCTTTTGAAATTTGTGTGAAACTGGCAAAATTGCCAATTTCTGACTACTTTATTGGATAATTGAAATCACTAAATGGGTGGTTTCTTGTACTCATTTGACAAAAAAATGAAGTTCTAGCGAAATACATAGTTATGATTTTTGTCGACTGGTACACTGGAATTGGCCGAAAATAGGGCTCAAAGTGGGCGAAATCGCCAATGCATAAACAACACTGAGACTGCTAACTTCGTGAGAGCATAATTCTGTAAGTTTTCCATTAAATTTCATACTTTTGGTGTCATTATGATCAGGAAAACATTCTCTATCATTTCATGAGAATTTTTTTTTTTTTCGAAAAATTTCCGACCCTGAGAACAAGTTTAGGAGAGGACCTGCCGACCCTGAAAGGGTTAAAGGAGGGGTTTTGGATATTGCCAGTTTGGAGGGACGTCTAAACTTGTATCTGAGTGCCTCTGCAAAGACAGTGATTATGCATGAGTGATGGTGAAAGTATTGAATGATGATGAAAGCATTTTCTTTCTTTCTGGGTCACCTTACCTCAGTGGGAAATGGCTGACATGTTAAAAAAAAAAAAAAAAAAAAAAAAAAAAAAAAAAAAAAAAAAAAATGGCTCTTCAGTAATCAGGACAAATGTTTCCCGATGCGCGTCTTAGTCGGATGATAACCCGCCATTGAAGCTTCTGGTCATCTCAAAAGACCTTCCACTGGCTTACCAGACCACCTCTTTAAATATTATGGTCATAGTTATAACCATTTAATGTATTATTACAGTACATTCATAGAAAGCACTAAACATGTGTGGGCCTTTAAGAGTTGCACAGCAAGGGTGAAAGATGGTAGAGGAAGAGGTGGTGGTGTTTAGATTAGGGCAGAAGCAAGAAAAAAACAGAAAAGGGAAATGTTTCACAGTGGATATAACACAACTGTGTCAGTTAAGAATTCATAGAGAGAATTTGCATTAAAAGGCTAACAGAGCAAGCATGTCAAGGTATCTAAGGTGTCTGAAATTATACTAACATGATCTCTGGTGAGCAGGACAATTAGCTAAATGTTTAAGACTTGGCAATTCTTGCAGAGTGATACCAGAAATTTCACCAGAAAATAAGCATGCAGTTGTCCAGTGGACAATGCATAGATCTGCAAGTACTGTTTCCTACAACTGAGTGATGGAGTATGGTCAGTATCCCAACTGTCTTGATGTAAAACAGCTTGTTGGTCACTAATAAGAACTATATACCACAAGAATACCTCTGCTTGCTTAACTGCAATCAATCACTAATAGTTTATCACATGAAAGAAAATTGCCGAGAGATAATAGGGTGTAGTATTACCTGCCAAACCTGTGTTGGTCTTGATGTAAGAACAGCACCAACTGTGTTCACCAGCTCTGACAGTAATGACTCTACTTCTGCTCTTTGAGTGATCAGTTTTTCTGCATCATTTTCATGGCTTTTTAAGAGTTCCTCTTGCTTTGGCTTGATAGATTTACTACCATTTTTAATGAATGTTGGAGCCACTGTTCCTTTAAGAAGATTTGCCATTGTCTATGAGGGTTGAGTTTCCTGTGAATACAAAAATCTTTCAATAGTGAGTGCAGTACTCACTCATATTAAAAATGGTTTATTCCTTTACAAATATGCAAAAATAAAGAATTTGCTTTGTACAAATTGTCTACATTTAATAAAGAATGTGGCACCCCTAAAGAAAATTGGTGACTTTCCTTATTTGATTGATACCTTAATATTCAAATGTTTTTCCTTAATATAGGCTTAGTTCAAACTGGTATGAAGCAAACTTACTATCTGGAATCCACCCCCTACCCTCCCCAATCCAGCAGCTTTAACAAGTCCAAATCTCAGCTTAATAATTATTTAAAACAATTTGTGAAAGCAAAAAATGAATACAATAACTATAAAGGGAAACTGCTCTTCTTAAAGAATGTGAATAGATTTTACAAGATTATATTCCTTCCTTTGCCACTCCATCTATAAATTTAATAATGTGTTATAGCTTTTCCAGAAAAAGCTTACCTTTGAAGGCTTTTTGAGAGTTCTCCTACTCTTCACAGCTCAGCCCTGGGCCAGGTTTGTTTATTGTTTTCCTGATCAATCAGGTTGTTACTGCCAGTGGCCCACATATCCATCTCAGCCTGGTTTATCTGGCAGTTGGCAGAGGTATACTTCCAATTTCTCTTGAAAATTTCTACACTTGTTCTGGCAATGTTTCCAATATCTTGTGGTAGTGTGCTAAACAGTCTGGGCCTATGGATGTTGATACAATGTTCTTTTATTGTACCCAAGGCACCTCAGTTTTTAACCGAGTTTATTTCATGTAGTCTCCCATATCTCTCACTCCAATATGTTGCTATGGCAGTGTGCCCTCAAGCACCTTTCACATGTATACTGTACTATCATGTATTTCTAGCTCTTTTTTGCTCCAGCAAATACAAAAGGAGAACCCAAGCAAGTACAGTCATATTTAGAACTTTGAGGCATTTCTAGCAATATATTACTGGCTCTATATGAGCCATAAATGACCTGTATCAATTAAGCTCTAATATGTCTCCTGCCCTGCCAAGTTTTATTAACATTATTTAACTTGCAAATTCTCTTGAAACAAAGGTTTCAGTAATTTGAGAAGACCACAAATATCATACACATTACTACTAAATTATCAATGAATCATCATAAGTGTTACTTAACACTAACAACGTTCCTCAGCTGCAGTGATTCTAGGAAAATTTTAGCATTAAAACAGGTACAATACAGGTTAAGTTGATTCAGGCACAATAACACAATCTTCTGAGGTTTTAAACAATCTTTCGCGGGTTACAACTGTCATAGATAATAATAACACTTATAAATTACCTAGGATAACCAAAAAAAAATAAAAAATGACTTAGTCAGCTGTTATCAGGCTCCTCTACACAGAACATATTTTTCTTAAACGAGATTGAACGAGTACATATAAAAATGAAGAGCACATCGAAAGACAGTCATAGTATGTATCACTCAATTTCTGGTGAGAGCTTTCATTCACATTTAAAAAAAAAAAAAAAAAAAGCGCTACATGGTTCCCCGTCTGGCTCCACCCACCCACGTGTGTGTATCTTACCCAGTTTTGGAGTGATAATGGCCAATAAAAGCATCAGGTTCTGGTCTGGTGTGTTATGTGGTCCATGTGAAGGTTGAGTAGTGCCTGGGTGAGGCAGGTGATGGCACCAACCAGGTTATAAGTGCCACTACACCATCACTCACTCACCTGATGTTTGTTGTTACTAAATTTTTTTTTTTGTCACTTTCATCATCACGTTCAAGACTCAACAATGTATTCTTAGAATTACAGTTTTTTACATTACTTTATTTCTGTTAGTCCTTTAAAAATTACTTATAATAATACTTATTCTACTAATGGTGTTTTTAGTTTATGAAACACAATACCCAAGAAAAAAAAAAGATAATCATTAAGAAGTATTTTTAATGGCGATTCATTTACAATTATTTTAAGACACTTGCCTTCTTGGCTGTTTTATTTTTATTTTACTGGACTATGAAAAAAATTACAGCATATTGTTAATCATGTTTTTATTATATTTAAGGGGAAGCGCTAAACCCGCACTGGTCATACGGCGACTGAGGTAATGTTTGGAAGTCTTGCTTGATCCAAGGAAGGGGAGCTCAGATCCAACTCCTTGGATCAAGACCCCTCCCTCCTCACCGGCATCAAGAACTCACCTTTGAGGAAAATTATCAGGATAAGTATACATTTGCCTTTCCAAACTCTATTAATAATTATAAAATACATATATAAAATAGATGCTTCCACTTTTGTCTACCAGCAAAAAAAAAAAATGAATCTGCTGCAGCGAGTGTCCTGACTTATTTAACATTTTATTATATTATAACAAGCACTATGTTCATAACAACCATCAAAGTAATGATTGTTGAGTCAAGAGATGAGAGTGCATGCACCAGGCAGGTCTGCACTCTCTTATATACTCCAATCATCACTCTCACACACCATCATACAACAATTAAATCAAAAATTACAATTATACCTTAAATAGTTTGCATGTTATGTAGTCACATAAGGTCAGTTAAACTACCTCAATAACAACACTTCAGATCCATCTTATTTCATGCTATTAGTAAACTTTAGAAGCATGTATATAACAATATTTGTTGCTGAATACTTATATATAGAAGTATTTATATATACATATTGATGATTGTAAAGGTAAGAATAGCGCAATAAACTTGCAATTTCAGAAGCGGTTAACTGATAAATATATGTATGTTTCTAAGTATATTCTTATATAAGACTTATATAATTCTAGACGTAAGAAAGGAGAGTGGAGTTAATTAATTAAAACATTTCAATTTAGGATGATAACAATGTTAAATATCAAATATCACAAGGGAGGGGCGGACATTTGGGATATCAACTCCGAATTTGCAACAGTATAACAAAGGATGATAGAGCAGGTTTCTATCATATACTCAAGACATTCATATACAGTGAACATATATTGTAGGTGCTTTAATTAATTTATACAAAGTTATTAGTAGTTGCGGTTATTTCGCTGGAGCATGAACGCTGCTGCCAGCCACAGCTGAACGATGTAAACAAATGAGGGCAGCGTGTCTATTATATTCAGATTGAATTTTTCCCGTAAGTACGCACCTTCTGGAGGAAACCTCGATGCCACCTTGTAGAATACATACTTGGCTACGCCTCTGACATAGGAGTGGCTGCTGTTGTTTGAAAAGGCGAGCTGAACCACCCGAAACACGAGTGGCAGTTTTGGCCGCTCCTCTTAATAAGCAACAGGAAAAGTAACAGCTATGTCAATGTGTAGTTGTTATCATAGCACGACATTGTGCTTGCTTATTATTAATAATATAACCTGACTGTCCAGTTTATTGTATTTTATAATTACTGTCTGAGTAAAATCAAATTATGAAATATGTTGGCAAGATCTGACACAGGTCTAAGTAGCAACGTGTTATGTTTGTTTATTTAGGTTAACATAATAGAGAGCGTTGTATGACCCTGGTAGGTTTAGCGCTTCCTCTTGATTATGTATAATAACCTATAGAGATTTTACACATAAATGAATTTTATTCATAAACTTTAAATTGATTCATATATAATACTTAGATTAAGTTTTGGGCTAAATTTACGTCATTTATTACAGTATCCCTTCTAAGGATATGCCTTGATATTAGTGAAGGGCTCTTGATTCAAGAAATTGGCGTTACCTCCCCTTCCTCGGATCAAAGATGATCTCATTCCCTGTGAGTTTTATGACCCTTGCAGGTTTAGCATTTCCCCATGGTTTATGCTTATAATTACTTTTGAGTACTTGAAATAAAAGTCCTGTAGAGCGCTTGCAAAAATATCCTTAAGTAAATTGGAATCAACTTCCAGTAGCTAAATGAACTTTGATGAGCTGAACTAACCATGGAGGATGTAACCAAAGAATTGGACCTGACTTCCCATTCCATGGGTTGAACCTGAATGCCTTCCATATCCCCAGGTACTGTTTAACCCCCTACAGGTTTAGGGCTGCATTCACAGATGCAATAGTAATGACTTGAGGAGGTAAGGAAATTAATATTATATATTACCAAAAACAAAGTACAATCAGACAAGACATGTCCCTTTTGAATAATGTGGGGTCAAACTCAACCCACAGAGTGAGGCACACATTCTCTTGCTGTACTATTATGAATTCCTTGGACCGCTTGGATTGTATTTTCTGGAACTGAGAAGAGACATATGGTAATACACACATGAAGAATACTTAAGGGTTAGGTCTACAATCTACACAGTACCACAGAAACTTACTGACGGCAGAGATGTGACAGGGAGTGGTGAATAAACCTAGCAAAGAGGAGGGGTACGACTGACAATCAGAGAACACTGTGTCAACCTCCATGGTCCATGGCTGTGCAACCTGTTGCCAGCAGATATCATAAATGTTGCTAGAATAAAGAAGCTTTCAAGAGGAAAGTATACTGCTGCCTTCATCAAGTTCCATATCAGCCAGAATGTAATTACAGTACTTGGTAGAAAAGGAATTAATTGTTTGTAGTTACAAAAGCAGAGCTGTGATTATGGTGTCCAGTCTTCATTAAACTCTTAATCCTATAAGGTTTTTTAAATTTCCAATGCCTGTAGCACTTTCAGCTTCCTCTTTTAATTCATTCCATTTGTTTACCAGTCTGTGATGTGATGGCTATATAGGCCTGCAGGCTGCTAACAACAGTAACCTGATTAACCAGGCAGTTACCAAGGAAGCCTGACTGAGGATCATTTTGCAAGGATGGAATGGTTATAAGTATGGGATTGATTACTCGCCAAAATTAACAAAAATTCTATGCATTTTATTGAACACAGTGCCAATGCCAGGAAAGCGCAGATGCAGTAACACAGTTCATGTGTATCTCTATTCACATTAATATAAAGACAAGAGGAGATATTGCTTAACAGAGAATGGTAGAGAGAGTGTTGGTATTTGCAACCATCTTTTGAAAATTTTAAAAAATAATTGTAGTAAATATTACATGGTATAAAGGTGAAACTAAAGAGTATGGAGATGAGAGCTAAAGTGGGAGAGTTGTTGAGAATATAGTACATACCGATCTCTACTAATCATAGAAAGTGTGTGTTGTTCAGCAACCTGGAATTAATTTCTTTTATTTTTATTCATAAAGGAGTACGGTAGTAACAGATTTTTTAAAATGCTGATATTGTATTCTCATTGTCTTTCAAGTTTTTTTTAACATAATATTGCTAAAAGTTTTATTGTATGTATACATAAAACCTTAACAGGCCTTGGAAATATGGGACAAAATTTGCTGGGTCAATTAGGAAATAACAGACAAGCTCATTAGTTTCAGAATTGTCCATTATTATTATTATTACAGTCATGGAAAACAATCTTATCTCTGTTCACCACAATCCCCAATACTGGCGACCCACTCCTCCCCTATTAATCTGTTAAATTAAGCGTTTACTGTACAACTGCTACAGTATTAGCTTTAATAATTCAATTATTTCAGGTCAAGTCTGTGAATGTGGCAATGGACAAATATCTGGTGACTCCCAAAAGAAAAATGACTGATGATATTACAGAAAATTTTGTAAGTACAGTACTATACTTAGTAAATATAATATTAAATACTTAACAAATTCTAAATAATTTTTATTGCAATTTATGATTTTACAGATTATCTGAAATGGGTATGATCTTGTTTATGATCAGTAATTCTATGTAGGAAGAATTGTTCTCTTGATTCCATGCTGTATTCGATTTAGGTAGTGAATAAACTAATAAGTAAAATTTGTGTGCTTTTACTCTAACTGGAGTGTGTTCAGAGGGTCACCGCACCCTCAGCATAGTCTCAGGCTAGGCCTCCATCTACAGTGCTGTATTTGAAAATTCCAAATTTTCAGAGAATATTCTTAATTAAAGTTTTTGGAAACCCTTCCATGCTCAAAGCATTTCAGTTTAGAGAGATTGTCAACATTAAAATTCCAAACTTTTCTCTTATTTGACATATTTTATATGTATTTATATACTACACTATATCTACATGAATATCAAACAAAAATACTAATACACATTCACACACATACAGTGATTATGTGCTTCGTTGTACTGTATATGCACACACAAATTTGCACGTCTCCCTCTGTCATTGTGTTTACCTGTAGAAACCCTCTCCAAGTAAATTCCAGGTAAACACAACAACAGAAGGAGATGTGCGAATTTTAACTTGATCTGGTTCAAGGCTATGTTGTGCATTCTTGGTACTTTCCTGCATTTATTGTGTACTCACCTAATTATGGTTGCAGGGGTCGAGACTCAGCTCCTGGCCCCGCCTCTTCACTGATCGCTACTAGGTCCTCACTTTCTGCTCCTGAGCTTTGTCATACTTCATCTTAAAGCTGTGTATGGTTCCTGCCTCCACTACATCACTTGCTAGGCTATTCTGCTTCCTGACGACTCTGAAAGAAGAAATACTTCCTAACTTCCCTGTGACTCATCTGAGTCTTCAGCTTCCAATTATGACCCCTTGTTTCAGTGTCCCCTCTCTGTAACATCCTGTCTCTGTCCACCTTATCTATTCCACGCAGTATTTTGTATGTCGTTATCACGTCTTCCCTGAGCCTCCTGTCCTCCAGTGTTGTCAGCCCAATTCCCCTCAACCTTTCTTCGTAGGACATTCCCCTGAGCTCTGGAATTAGCCATGCTGCAAACCTTTGTACTTTCTCTAATTTCTTGATGTGCTTGACCAGGTGTGAGTTCCAAACCTGTGCTGCATACTCCAGTATGGGCCTGGCATATACAGTGTACAGTGTCTTGAACGATTCCTTACTAAGGTATCGGAACACTATTCGCAGGTTTGATGAGTGCCCATGTGCTGCAGCAGTTATCTGGTTGATGTGTGCCTCCGGAGACGTGCTCGGTATTATGGTCACCCCAAGATCTTTCTCCTTGAATGAGGTTTGCAGTCTTTGTCCACCTAGCCTATACTCTGTCTGCGGTCTTCTTTGCCCTTCCCCAGTCTTCATGACCTTGCATTTGGTGGGGTTGAATTCGAGAAGCCAGTTGCTGGACCAGGTGTCCAGCCTGTCCAGGTCTCTTTGTAGTCCTGCCTGATCCTCATCTGATTTAATTCTCCTCATTAACTTCACATCATCTGCAAACAGGGACACTTCAGAGTCTATCCTTTCCATCATGTGATTTGCATATACCAAAAATAGCACTGGTCCTAGGACTGACCCCTGTGGGACCCCGCTCGTCTCAGGCTCCCACTGTGTTACCTCATCACATACCATGACTCATTGTTGTTCCCCCCCTGTCAGGTATTCTCTGATCCATTGCAGTGCCCTTCCTGTTATACGCACCTGATCCTCTAGCTTCTGCACTAATCTCTTGTGAGGAACTGTGTCGAATGCCTTCCTGCAGTCCAGGAAAATGCAATCAACCCACCCCTCTTTCTCATGTCTTACTTCTGTTACTTTGTCATAAAACTCCAGAAGGTTTGTGACACAGGATTTGCCTTCCATGAATCCTTGCTGGTTGTTGTTCATAATCTTGTTCCATTCCTGGTCCTCCACCACTCTCCTTCTGATAATCTTCTCCGTGTGTGTGTGTGTGTGCATGTGCATGTGCGTGTGTGTGTGTGCGTGTGCGTGTGCGCGTGTGCGTGTGAGTGTGTGTGTGCGTGTGTGTGCGTGTGTGTGTGCGTGTGTGTGTGTGTGTGTGTGTGTGTGTGTGTGTGTGTGTGTGTGTGCCCACACGTGTGTGCGTGCATGTGCGTGTGTGTGTATGCGTGTGCGTGTGTATGTATGCATGTGTGTGTGCGTGCATGTGTGCATGTGCGCTCGTGCGTATGTATGTACTCGCCTAATTGTGGTTGCAGGGGTCGAGACTCAGCTCCTGGCCCCACATCTTCACTGACCGCCACTGGGTCCTCCCTCTCCCTGCTCCATGAGCTTTATCATACCTCCTCTTAAAACTATGTATGGCTCCTGCCTCCACTACATCACGCACATGTGTGTGTGTGTGTGTGTGTGTGTGTGTGTACATACACATATACATACATACATGCTTGTACCCCAGGTGCCTTTCTCCCATTTTTTTCCATTTTCAAAGAACCTTCAGGCAGCCTTGTCTGAATATAAATTTATGCAAATACTTGGACCTATTCTAAGTATATTACTGTACACAATAATAGAATGGGATGTAGCTTGCCTTTTTATTCTAATCCTTCATACATGATTGTTATACATTTTTCCTGTAATTCTATACAATACAGTACAATGCAATTTTTATTTCTTTGCAAGTTTACATTGAGATTCTGTAGTTACAGTAATGAGTTGCAGTGCCAAGAGCCACTATCATGCCCTGGCATTATGGCCAGACTAAATTAATGGCTAACAGACTACTTAATACTAGAGAAATTGATTATAGTTTGTTTAAGCAGACAGTAAGCTAACTCAAGTTACAATCTGGGGATATTACATTGGGACAATTTGAAAGTGTTTTGAAGGTTGTGTATATCAATAGTAAATATTTAAGTTACATTATTGGAATATAATATTGAGTGTTGGTGAAAGTAGTTTACAGTATGAGAATGCTACAATATGGTGTAAGGCAGTATAGTTTTGTGCAGGTATTTATACTACAATGTAGTATTAAGTTTTGTATGAACTTTGGGTATTAAAATTTTGAAATGTTAAGATTTAGGTAATTGAGAGATCTTTTGGTAGATTTAAGTAGTGAGTATTGAATATTTAGTTTAGGGTGAATAGATGGTTTTTAAGAAGTCTTAAATTGATGTTCAAATTGGGTTATTTTAGTATTTACTAGTAATGAGTTTCAAATTTTGGGGCCTTTTATGTGCATAGAGTTCTTACATAGTGTGATGTGGACATAGGGTACACCAAAAAGTGATCTGCATCTTGTGTTATGGCCGTGCGTCCTGTTAAGGTTGGTGAGGAAAAGTTTGAGTGAAGGGTTTATGTTTGAGTGTGGTGTTCTATGTATGTAGTAGGTGCAAGAATAAGTATGGATGTTCTTAACAGTGAGTAGTTTTAGACTTTTGAATATTGGTGGAGTATGCTGTCTGGAGTGGGAATTTGTTATCATTCTGACTTCAGCCTTTTGCTGGGTTATTATTGGTCTTAGGTGATTTAACATTGTTGATCCGCATGCACAAATTCCATAGGTGAGATAAGGGTAGATGAGTGAGTGATGCAGCGCAAGGAGAGCTGATTGTGGAACATAGTACCGTATCTTTGATAGTACACCTACTGTCTTAGAGATTTTCTTGGAAATTTGTTGTATATGGGTCTGGAATTTAAGGCTACTGTCAAGGAGGATTCCTAAGAATTTTCCCTCTATATGTCTTGTGATGGGCGATTCATTTAGCACTATGTAAAGTGGAACATTTGTGGCTCTGTTTCCAAACTGAATGAAATAGGTTTTGTCAGTATTGAATGTAAGCTTGTTAGTCATCATCCAGGTAGATATTTTCTGCAATTCAGCATTAACAGTGTTGGCCAGTATGACTGCATTTGGGTGAAAGAAGACGTATGTTGTGTCATCTGCAAATAATATTGGTCTGAGTAGTTAAGATGGATTCGGTAGGTCATTGATGTAAATGAGAAAGAGGAGAGGGCCAAGGACACTTCCTTGTCGGACCCCAACTGTAATTGGTTTTGTGTTAGAGTTAGCTCCATTTGTGTACACATACTGGCTTCTGTTACTAAGGTATGACTAAGTAGTTGAGGGAGTGCCCTCTTATACCATAGTGTGTTAATTTAGTGTGCAGCGAGACTTCTGTCTTCTCGAGAGTTGTATTAGTTCTAGCATGTGTACAATAGCATCATTTGTGCTTTTATTAGTCTTGAATCCAAACTGAGAGGGGTTGAGTATGTCTTGAGAGATGAAGTAGGAATAGATCTGCCTATGAATTAATTTTTCAAACATTTTAGAGAGCAGAGGTAAGTTAGATATTGGTCTATAGTTATTCAAGTCTATTTGATCTCTGATCTCTGTTTAATCTATGATCATTCTCACATACCTAGATCATGAAGTATGCCCCACTTTATGGCTAGAAACCATATTTGGTATTGTTAGCCTTTTCCATTACCATTTATTAATGCCCTCAGCTTTTATTAAATAGTATATACAGCCCTTGAAAAGCCTGAGTTTTAAATTTATCCCTCGTCTTGATCATACTTCATTCTAAGAGGCCAGGGTGTGAAGAGGTACAGGTAGGCCCCACTTTACAGAGCTTTGCTAATGCAGCGGTTTTCAGTTTATTCCCATTCTCCATTTATTCAGACTTACTACAGTAAATATAATCACCACTCACTATAAGCTAAGGTTGAAAAATTTTGAGGTAAGTAATGTGTGTGCTATATATATATGCATGTTTTAGGCCCATGGCCTTGTAGGCAGCACTCTTGCTTCACTCGCTGAGTATCCGTGGTTTGATCCTGGGAAGGGTGGAAATATTGGGTGTGATTCCTTAAACCATTCACCTAGCAAGCAAGTGTTAGTCGACTGGTGTGGGTCACATCCTGGGGGACAAGATTGAGGACCCCAGTGGAAATAAGACAGACAGTCCCTCGATGATGCACTGCCTTTCTTGGTTTATCCTGGTTGGTTAACCTTGCAGGGTTGAAAATCCTAACAAAATCTTATCTAGCTCTGTTGCTCACTTAATATTTGATAATGTGAACATGTTATCAGGCTTTTATATGCATTTGAAAGTGAAGAAGGCTATGTTTCACTTTACAGCAAGTTTTGCTTTACAACAGAAGCCCAGAACCTAACCAGCTGTATAAGTGGGGCCCACTTGTATACTGTTATACATTATAATAATCTATGAGAAAAGAACTGTAATACAATACTGATCCCAGATAGTTTTGTTTCCTGGATTACTGTTTTGGTCATTACAGCCTAACACACCTTGATTTTTTCTTAATTTATTCTACAAACTCTGTGTTTGAAAACTGTGTTATCCTTAAGTCATCTCTTCTTTAACATTATCAAGCTTATTCACCACTTCATGCTCTGATATCTTTTCATTTGAACATGGAGTCATGGTAATTAAGTATCTCTGGTGTTGCATCATGTACAGGTATTTCAATGTAAATAATGATAACTGAATGCAAACAAATGATGAAGTATTAATGGGATTCAGTTTAGAATTTGAAACCCAATATAACAGGATATGTTGATAATGGCTGTAAAGCTTTTTAACGATGATATGAAGGTTTTAACCCTTTGACTGTTGCAAGCCCCTTTCTGAAACTGTCATTCTATGTCGCAAAATTTTTGAAAAAAAAAAAAATTTTTTTCTTATAAAATGTTAGAGAATCTTTTCCCAATGGTAATGACACCAAAAGTACGAAATTTGGTCGAAAACTCACAGAATTACGCTCCCGCAAAGTTAGCGGTCTCGGTGACATACGCATCAGCGATTTCGCCGACTTTGAGTCTTGTTTTTGGCCAATTCCGTTGTTCCAGTTGACCAAACTCGTAGCTATTTCTTTAGAACTTCATTTTTTCTATCAGCTGAGTACAAGAAACCGCCCATTAATCGATTTGAACTACCCAATAAACTGGTCAGAAATTGGCAATTTGGCCAATTTCATGCAAATTAAAAAAGATGCCAATTTCAAAATAGGGTCCAGAATAAACAATGTAGACATTCATAGCGCTAAAATAACATATCCTCTGTTCATTAGTCACATCTCTAGGCCCCTCTTATATTACTATTGCTTTCTATTTTTATTTTTTATTCATACAAAAAATACAAAATTTACTGTTATGCAGGTTAATGCATTATTGTAAAAATGGTATAAATAATATCAGTGCGCTAGTGAAAGAATATTAGACTCCCCAGTTGACGTGTATTGGACGTATGGTGTGATTTGCTTACACTTGAACATTGGTAAAAATCAAACATTCCGTTACTTTGAGCTCAATTTCAAGGTCGTTTTCATTGTGAAACTAATCAAAATCATCTCTATTTCTGCAATGTGTTTTCCATTTTATCACGTGAGACCATGAAAACGAGAATACAACGATAAATACTATACGAAAATACAGCTCAAAGTCGGCATTTAAATCCAAAAAAACGGTTGGTTTTTTTCTCATTATGCACTGCGTGCTGCAGGATTTCTTTTGTGATGCACACTGACCACACAGACCCATTTTCTCACATGTGGGCCTACCAGCTTTCTCCTGCTTGATTTGAAGCCGCTAGAATTATTGAGTAATATATACGTCCGAAACACTGGCTCGTAAGACGAATATATGTGACCAGAACAGTCAAAGGGTTAATATACGTAGTAGCACTGATGATCACTCATATTATTATTCATTTAATAGTTCGTGTGGTTCATGGTGGGTCCCCCTTTTTGTCTGATGTTTTCTGCATATGTTTAGTAGCTTCATGACATTTATTTCTCTCAGTTTTACTCATTGTCAGTTATATTCTTAAGTTAATGTTTTGCAGGATGCAAATGGAGATATAAAGAAATCTAAAGGCAACCATGTTCGAAGTGAAGGATTTGCAATTACAGAAGTGCGTGGGGATTTGTTCACCTGTCCAGATGGAACATCCCTTGCTCATTGCATATCACAAGATATTCGGATGGGCAAGGGTATTGCTAGTCTTTTTAAGGTTAGTGTATTCAGAAGTTGCTTGATAACAAGAAATATTTCTTGCATTATGTAATAATTAATCATAAAACTGAGTGGGTTTGAAACCATGGGAAGCGAGTCTTAAATCTCACAGGCGGGTGTGCTAACCACTGCTTCATGCCCCAGTGAGGTTCAACCCCCCCCACCCAGTCTGTGATTTATTTGTAATTGCATTATTATGACTTTGTGAGTCATTGTCTCGTAAAAAAATTATTTTTGAAGTGGTACAGACTGACAGGATTTTACAGTGAATGTGTTTTTGTTACAAAAATAATTTACATTTTGTAAAGCATTGTAGTTTTTACACAACCCACACATAGGAGACTGAAATTAATGATGACATTTATTGTTCTAGTCACAGTATTGTTCCTTCTTATTTTATAGTTTTTCATGGCAAACAGAAAGATGGAGTTTGGGAGAGTATAGAGATCCCTATTCCCTCTTTATGAAGTAATATTAAATGGGCATTGTACAGTACGAATTATATTCTGTATATGTACTGTACTGTGGTACAATTCCAAGAATCTGAATATGTGGCCTAGCAATTTGATGATTTTGCAATTTTTTTGGTAATTCTTCATATACATCTGTCTCCATCCTTCTCCTTTTCTGCTTCTGTCTCCTTCCCTTCCTCTGCCTCCTCCCCTTCCTCTGCCTCCTGCCCTTCCTCTTCCTCCTCCCCTTCCTCTGCCTCCTCCCCTTCCTCTGCCTCTTCCTCTTCCTTTGCTGCCTCCTTTTCTTCTGCCTTCTCTTCCTCCTCTGCTTCCTCCTTTTCCTTTGCTGCCTCCTTTTCTCCTGCCTTCTCTTTCTTCTCTCTCTCTCTCTTCCTCAGCCTCCTCTTCCTCTCTCATCCACTTCTTTCTCTGACTCACTAGTATATTAGCAAGAATGTGATACAGCAAAAAATATGGGAAATGTCATGCAGTTCCTAACAGCTGCAATTGTTTTCATTACCATATTGTGAAGCATCATCGGAACATTGATGTAAGTTTTTTGGGAACATACCAAGTGACACTGGAATGTAAGACTATGCCTCGTTTTTTCATGGCATAATCAATTTTGCTTTTCTTATTAACTGTATTAGATTTTTTTTTTTTTTTTGTTTATGGCTATTCACATTTTGAATGTATATACAGTGGAACCCCGGTTTTCATCTTTAGTCCGTTCCAGAAGTTCGGCTGAAAACGATTTGTACGAAAACTGAAGTATTATTTCCCATGAGAAATAATGTAAATCCAATTAATCCGTTCCAGACACTCAAAAAATGATTAAAAAAAAATACATTTTATAGAGAAGAACTATAGTTTTACATACAGAAAACAATGAGAAATAAATATAAAGCACTAATGAAATCAGTAAATGAACATTTAAATCACTTTTACCTTTATTGAAGACTCTTGTTGGCATATGGAAGATGGAGAGGAGAGGGGGGGAGGGGTTATTTCTACTGCCATCACTACCACCCTCCACCACCACCACCACCACCACCACTACCACCCTCTACCACCACCATTACCACCCTCTACCACCATCATTACCACCCTCTACCACCATCACTACCACCCTCTACCACCCTCTACCACCATCACTACCACCCTCTACCACCATCACTACCACCCTCTACCACCATCACTACCACCCTCTACCACCATCACTACCACCCTCTACCACCATCACTACACCCTCTACCACCATCACTACCACCCTCTAACACCATCACTACCACCCTCTACCACCATCACTACTACCCTCTACCACCATCACTACTACCCTCTACCACCATCACTACCACCCTCTACCACCATCGCTACACCCTCTACCACCATCATTACCACCCTCTACCACCATCACTACCGCCCTCTACCACCATCACTACCACCCTCTACCACCATCACTACCACCCTCTACCACCATCACTATCACCCTCTACCACCATCACTACCACCCTCTACGGGTAACAAAGGCAGACTGAGTCACAAATGTATGAGCAGCCGCGTCCTGCAGGCTGGCAGATGTATCTGGTACGGACAATTTCTGAGCGGATGTACGAAAACTGGGAAAATTTCGCTGAAAAAAGTGATCGAAAACTGAATTGTACGATAACTGGACCGGATGAAAACTGGGGTTCCACTGTACCGTATTCATGTTTTACTCTCTTTTTTTTATGTAGGCCAAATTTGGTGGTGTGCAGGAGCTGACAGAGCAGGGCAAGAAACCAGGTGATGTTGCCGTTCTGAAACGGGGCCAAAGATACGTGTATTATTTAGTCACTAAGGTATGTGTACTTTTTTGTGCTGACTTTCCTTGCAGTATGTGGTGGTGATCTATTTTTACATCTTGCTTACGAACTCTATCCATACTAAAGTTGTTGATCATTGTTATTTGATGTAATATTGTACTAGCTATCCTAATCATTTACTGCTGGATTGAGTTAGTGCATCGGTTTCACTTTATTTACCAAATAATGTGGTGTTACTATGGATTTTTTTTTTTCCCCAACAAGTTGGCCGTCTCCCTCTGAGGCAGGGCGACCCAAAAAAGAAAGAAAATCCCCAAAAAGAAATTAATTTCATCATCATTCAACACTTTCACCTCACTCACACATAATCACTGTTTTTTCAGAGGTGCTCAGAATACAACAGTTTAGAAGCATATACCTATAAAGATACACAACATATCCCTCCAAACTGCCACTATCCCAAACCCCTCCTTTAAAGTGCAGGCATTGTACTTCCCATTTCCAGGACTCAAGTCCGGCTATATAAAAATAACTGGTTTCCCTGAATCTCTTCAGTAAATATTACCCTGCTCACACTCCAACAGCTCATCAGGTCCCAAATGCCATTCGTTTCCATTCACTCCTATCTAACACGCTCACGCACGCTTGCTGGAAGTACAAGCCCCTCACCCACAAAAACCTCCTTTACCCCCCTCCCTCCAACTTTTTCGAGGACAACCCCTACCCCGCCTTCCTTACCCTACAGACTTGTACGCTCTCCATGCAATTCTACTTTGATCCAGTCTCTCTAAATGACTGAACCACCTCAACAACCCCTCTTCAGCTCTCTGACTAATACTTTTATTAATTCCACACCTCCTAATTTCCACACTCCGAATTTTCTGTATAATATTCACACCACACATTGCCCTTAGACAGGACATCCCCACTGCTTCCAACCACCTCCTCACTGCAGCATTTACAACCCAAGCTTCACACCCACATAAGAGTGTTGGTACTACTATACTTTCATACATTTCCTTCTTTGCCTCCATAGATAACGTTTTTTTGTCTCCACATATACCTCAACACACCACTCGCCTTTTTTCCTTCATCAATTCTATGATTCACTTCATTCTTCATACCCAATTTGATATCCAATTTTTCTTTAAATCATTTGATACCCTCATCACCTTACTCTTTTCTATGTTCACTTTCAGCTTTCTACCTTTGCACACACTCCCAAACTCATCTACTAACTTTTGCAGTTTTTCTTTAGAATCTCCCATAAGCACAGTATCATCAGCAAAAAGTAACTGTGTCAATTCCCATTTTGTATTTGATTCCCCATAATTTAACCCCACCCCTCTCCGAACACCCTAGCATTTACTTCTTTTACAACCCCATCTGTAAATATATTAAACAACCATGGTGACATTACACATCCCTATCTAAGACCTACTTTTACTGGGAAGTAGTCTCCCTCTCTTCTACACACCCTAACCCGAGCCTCGCTATTCTCATAAAAACTCTTTACAGCATTTAGTAACTTACCACCTATTCCATATACAGTGGACCCCCGGTTCGCGAAGTCATCGGTATCCGATAAATCCGGTATCCGAAGCATTATATTGCAAAAAATTTGCCTCGGTTCCCATTACAAAACCCGGTATGCGATATGATTCGTACGAGACGTGGCCATGTGTGGCCTGAACTGCCCCATGTGCACCAGTGTTTACAAGCCAGTCAGTGTGCGCGCATCTAAGAATACATTCGGTACATTCCATATTATCCATATTATCACTGTTTTTGGTGCTTGTTTCTGCAAAATAAGTCACCATGGGCCCCAAGAAAGCTTCTAGTGCCAACCCTGTGGATAAAAAGGGTGAGAATTAGTATGGAAATTAAGAAAGATTTTGAAGGGTTTGGGGCTAACCCTGAGAAGCCTATGGGCCCGTTGTGGACTCCATTGTGCCTACTTCAAAAATTAAGGAAATGTGTGCAAAGTGGGTTAAACTGCAAACCTTTATGGATGAAAATCACCCTAACACAGCTATTGCAAGCCGTGCTGGTGACTATTACAACGACAAAGTTATGGCCCATTTTAGGAAAGTCATAAAGGAATGAGAGGTACAGGCCTCTATGGACAGATATGTTGTGCGACAGAAGTCCAGTGACTTTAAAAATTTTCCTATTATTAAAAAAGGGGAAAGCTCAAAAGGTTTGGGCTATTTTAACCCCTTTTGGAAAATTTTCTAAAAAAAAAAAAAATTTTTCTATCCTAATTCATAGTTCTTTAAAGAACATATTTGCTTGTGTTTTTATTGAAAAAATTGGATGTATATCCCAAAGCGAATTAAATTTAATTTGGGGAGTTTTTTTTAATAATGGGTTAATCAGGGGTTATTTGAAATTACTAAGAGGGGAAAATTAATTTTTGATTTTTTGGGGAAGAAGGTTTGAGGTTAATAAGGTAAGGGGTAAAGTAAGGAATTCCCAAAGGGGGCCCTAATAACTTATCAATGGGGATTAAAGGAAAGAAAATTTTTATTATTAAAATGTAATGGGCCTTTACCAATGTGAAAATTTTTAAACCCCAAAAATAAAAACTTTTGGGGGAAATTTAATTTGGGGGGTCAATTTAATGTAATACCCTTTTGATTCGTTTATAAAAATTTATTATATAATACATTTTTTAAAAAAAAATTTTTATATAAAGGGATTATTTTGGGCAATACGGTATTTTTTTATTTTTTAAATTAAAAAAAATTAAACTTCAATACATTTTATAGATCCCTATATCAGATCTTTTAGTTTACCCTAATAAAGGTAATGATACAAAATACATCGGAAAAAGGTGAGGTTTAAAACAAAAAGGGACCATTTGGGGAAAATTTAAAACCCCTTTGGAGATAAATCCAAGAACATACAATTCGAAATATTAGTTTAAAAATATTTTTTCACAATTTTTACGAATGTAGGAAAACTTTGTATTGTTTAAGGGTAGAAGTCCCCAAATTTTTTTTATATAAAAAAGATTTAAAACAATTAGCTTTGTGCATGTTCAACATTTTTTATATACATTGTGAATAACATTTTTTAAAAAACTAAATTTTTTTTACCCTTTTTAAAAATAAACCAACATTTCTTTCTTCTGACCATTTTTAAATCCACAAATTTCTTTTCCAAAATTCAAATAAATTTTAAAACAATTAACCTTTAACCCCCCCTTTCCTCTTCAAAAATACTTTGCCAATTTTAAAAACCCAATACCCCATATTATACCTTTCCCCCCCTACTTTTTTTTTTTTATCCTTTACTCCCGTAGCCATTTTGTTTTAAAAGGCCCCCAAAAAACACCCTTGTGGGATTAAACCTTTTACTTAATTTGTGAGGATTAGGTATGAAGGGGTAAGGCACTGGAGATGGAAAAATAAAATTTTAAGCAGGTGGGATAATTTGGACTGGTTTGAATTTTTAATAAGGTATGGGGGGGGTGGGTCCGGGGTTGGCGAGAATGAATGTCTTTTGTAAGGCAGGGGGACAAAGGATCAAAAATTAAAATTTTTTAACCCCCGGGGGTTCCCCTACTTTCCAGTTTTTTTCCCTTTTATCCATCTTGTCTTGGGTAGGAGATTTCCCTCCAGTTTTAAATGACATAAAATTTTCAGGGGAAGGGCATGTATCCCTTCTCCGGGATAAACCCCTGGGTAAAACCCCTTTTTTTTCCTTTGCCACCCTCCCCCGGGGAAAAAACCCTTTGTTAAAGCTATTTAATAACACCTTTCATGCTGCTGAATCAACCCTCGAAATTTCTCCTTTTTACCCCCTAATTTCCCTAACCCCCCCTTTTTTCCCTTCACTACGATTAAATCATCTTAAATTTCTTTTGGCTCCATTTCTTCCCCCTTCCAACCCATTTTTCCCCCCCTTTTCACCTCCCAACAGGGAAATCCCACTTTCCAAAATTTCCCTATGATTTCTAAATTCCCAAAAATTTCCCTCACTACAATTCCCTTTCCTCCAGCTTATCTCCATCAACTTTCTTCACCTTTTTTACCCAATAATGCTTTTTTTAAAATTCTCTTTTCCCCTTTCCTTTCCAAACAAATTTTTTTTGTCTCCATTTTACATCAACCTTTACCCTGAGGGGTAATTCTTTATTTCCTTTAAAATTATTATTTTGTTAATTAAGAGAAGGGGTTTTTTAGTAAAACCACAAAACTTTAAAGGGGGGGGGTACAATGTTATGAAACTTAGTGCAGTATTATAAGGCAAAGGGTTTGTGTTTTGGATTGAGGCTTTCACTGGTTAGGGGGAAGGGGCAATTTGATTAGAAGTTATAAAGCAGAAGATTATTAAGGAATTAGAGTATGTGGAAAGGGAAGTTTTCCAGTAAAAGTAGGTTAAAAAAGGTTGTATTGTTTTAATTGTTAAAAACATGTTTGGAGGTGGTTTTTATTCATCTATGCAGGAAAATGAAGTAAACCAAACTCGTTATTCCAATTCAAATGGTTATTAATGATAAGAACAACCAAGAAGGCGGGACCCTTTTAACATTAGCCTTTGCACCAAATAAAACACTGTGGTCGGGAGTTCGTTTAAAAGATTCAGAGGCCCCTGAGTTGTATATGTAAAGGAAAAAAATTAAATGTTTTAAGAAAGAGTTAATTTATATTAACAAATTTTGAGGTCGGGGAAGAGGGAAATTCAGATTGGGAGTGGCAATTTAAGGAAAAAATTTAAAAATGTATAAGATATTGGATACTGCACAAGGGTTATGAAAGTTGGGGGAACTTAGATTATGGGGGAAAAAGGGTGGGTCCGGAGTTTGGAGGCAAATTTGCCACAAAAAATTAGAGAGATTTTTCCCCAATGCTTAATTTGAACATGTGATGAATTGTTTGCGGGAAGGTAGCGTGGAATTCATGTTGAGGAAATTGCATTGAATGAGAGAATTCATAGTTTGAGTGGAATGGGATTGCAAACCCTTTTTTCTATGGGAAGATTTTGTGGGGGCACATTAGGAAATTTAAACAACAGAGGGTTCAAAAATTTACAATTTGAATTAAAATTCAAAAGGGGGCCATAGAAATTAGGGGTAAAAAAGTTTTGGTGCG